AGGTGTCCCTGCCCATGGCGGGGGAGTGGAACAGGATGAGCTTTAAGGTCCCTCCCAGCCCAAACCCTCCTGGGATTCTATGACGCTGTGCAGATGGAGGACATGGTGCTGCTGGAAGCAGAGCTCCTCCTGCAGCAGAGCATCCCTTGCTGGGCATCTCGCTCTGACACTGACCTGTCTCCTCTCCCCAAGCCGGGCTGGAGGGGCGCTCGCAGGCTGGCCTAGCTGGTGCTCCATATCCCTCTGGGATAGCCTGGAGCAGCAGCCGTTACTTGTGAGGCCACTCCTGCTTCCATCCCTCGTCCCATCGCTGCTCCAGCCCGCAGCGACCGCAGAGCGCCGTGGGAGCGGCTGGACAGGGGTGGGCGCGGGAAGTCCGTGAAGGGAGGAGGGATGGGGTCATCCTGTCCCGCAGGGAAAGAGGGAAGAATGGAGGGCGCTCCCCACGCTGCTGCCTTGCGCTGAATAAACGCCTTTGTGCCGGGCTGGTCTCTGCTCCGCTGTCGGAGGGTCGGGGCGGCTCTGCCCGAGGCCGCGGAGCAGCAGCGGCCGCAGAGGGCTGACACAGAACCGGGGCGTGGGGGGAGGAAGAACGAGACCAGCGGACCCGGGGGGACGCGGGGGAGCGGCTGCGAGGCCGCCCGGTCCCAGTGGGATGTTCCTGGGGGGCCGGTCCCGGTGGGACGCGGACGGTGCCACTGGGATGGTCCCGGTGGGATGTGGCTGGTGGGATGGGGCCGGTCCCACTGGGATGGAGTTGGTCCCGGTGGGACGGTCCCGGTGGGATGGTCCCGGTGGAGTGGGGCCGGTGGGATGGGGTTGGTCCCAGTGGGGTGGGGCCGGTGGGATGGGATTGGTCCCAGTGGGACGGTCCCGGTGGGACGCGGCCGCTGCCGGTGGGATGGTCCCAGTGGGATGGGGCCCTGTGCTGAATATGCGGAAGAACTTCACCGTGCCGGGTGACCGCGCACTGGAACAGATTGCCCAGAGAGGGTGTGGAGTCTCCCTCACTGGGGATATTCCAGAGCCCTCTGGACTCAATCCCGCGCCACGTACTCTGGGGATGACCCTGCTTGGACCAGACGACCCACTGTGATCCCTTCCAACCTGACGCATTCTGGGATTCTGTGGTGCCGGTGGGATGCGGCTGGTGGGATGGGGCCGGTCCCAGCGGGATGGGGCCGGTGCCGGTGGGCTGTTCGCAGGGGGCCGATCCCAGTGGGACGGTCCTGGTGGGATGTTCCGAGGGGGCCGGTCCCAGTGGGTTGTTCCCCGTGGGATGTTTCTAGGGGGCCGGTCCCAGTGGGTTGTTCCCCGTGGGATGTTTCTGGGGGGCCAGTCCCAGTGGGATGTTCCCGATGGGCTGTTCCCAGGGGGCCGGTCCCGGTGGGACGTTCCAGGGGGGCCAGTCCTGGTGGGACGTTCCAGGGGGGCCGGTCCCGGTGGGATGTGGCCGGTCCCGGTGGGTTGTTCCCGGTGGGTTGTTCCCGCGGGGCCGGTCCCGGTGGGATGTTCCGGGGCGGCCGGTCCCGGTGGGCTAAAGCCAGTCCCAGTGGGCTGTTCCCGGTGGGTTGTTCCCCGTGGGTTGCTCCCGGTGGGCTGTTCCCGGTGGGTTATTCCCGATGGGCTGTTCCCGGTGGGCTGTTCTCGGGGTGCCGCTCCCGGTCCCGCCCCGCGCGCTCCCGCCCCTCCGGACGCCGCCACCGCCCCGGCGCGGTGCGCGCGCAGCGCCCGGCCCCGCCCCCTGGCCCGGCGGCAGCCAATGGGGGGGCGCGACGGGGGCGCGCGGGGCCTTGGGCGGGGCCGTGGCGGCGGGCGGTGAGTGCGGGGCCGAGCGGGAGCGAGCGGCCGGGCCGGGCGGTGAGTGCGGGCGGCGGGGCCGCAGCAGGGTCACACCGGCCTCCCCGTGCGCTGGAAACCCGGCGGTAGCGGCCGAGCGGCAACTGGGGCCGGGCCGCAACGCCGCGGCCCACGGCTGGGCCCGGCGCGCTCCCCGGGTGTGCAGGGGGGGCCGCCCCGCCCTCCATCGGCCCCCTCAGCGGGGCTCGCTGGGCAGCACCGGCCTCCTTCGGGACAGCTCCAGCCGGGCCGCACCGGCGGGAGGGGGAAGGTGGTTTGTGGGGGGGTCTGAACAACCTCGTGGGAGCCGTCGGGGCATCGGGAGTCCTGCCGGGGACACCCCCAGAGCTCCCCCAGTCTGGGTGGTGGGGAGGCTTGTTTGGAAAGGTTTGTTCCGTGTGGGAAGTCTGTTTGGGTTCAGCCGTGGTTAAAGTCACATCAGAAAGGGTGGGGAGTGTCCAGGGAAGGGAACGGAGCTGGGGAAGGGGCTGGAGCAGCAGGAGCAGCTGAGGGAGCTGGGGGGGCTCAGCCTGGAGAAAAGGAGGCTCAGGAGGGACCTTCTCGCTCTCTGCAACTCCCTGACCGGAGAGGGGAGCCAGGGGAGGGTCAGGTTCTTGTGCCATGTGTTTCCTCAAGATGAGAGAAAAAGGCCTCAAGTTGCACCACGGGAGGTTCAGATTAGGTATTAGAAGTAATTATTTCACTGTCAGAGTGGTCAGGCCTTGGAATGAGTTGCCCAGGGAGGTGGTGGAGTCACCATCTCTGGGAGTGTTCAGGAAGTGTCTGGATGTGGCACTTGGGGACATGGTTTAGGGGTGACTGTGTTGTGCTGGGGTGATGGTGGGACTGGATGATCTCGAAGGTCTCTTCCAACCTTGGTGATCCCGTGAAAGTGGGACAAGGTAGGGAGAAATTAGTTGCATTTAAGGAAGAATTTATTGTGATGCCCCAAGAGCGGGTGGTTTGCAAAAGGTGGGGGGGTGAAGGTGGCAGCAGCCTCACACCAGAGAGTACCTGGCTGTGCTCTCTGTTTCCTAAGCTTCTGAGGCTCAGCTGTGCCCACACGTGTAGCTGGGCTGTGCTGGATCTGTGGTGCCACAGCAGACGGTCCGTGGGCAGCACGGTGAGGTTTGGGGACACTCATGCCAGTACCCACAGCTGCCGTGGGCTGCAGCTCTCCCACAGCCCTGCTCCGTAAAGATCCCTTGACTGGAACTCATCTGTACGTGTATTTGGTTCCTTAAGCGTTTATGTCAAGCTTCTGCATGTTTATGTGCTTCTTACTGTCTTATTTTCCTCATATTTTGGTCCTGTGTGTGAGGTCTGGCTGTTAGCAGCAATGTATATCCAGGTCATGCTGCATACAGATGTTTTTCTTCTTTAGTGCCACGTGTTCATTACACAAACATTAATCCTTGGGTAACCTCCTCATTAGTCTGCACAGTTCCTACCTCCCCTGTAGCCACAATAATTAACCATTTTATATTTCCATATTTTCCTGCAGAATATTGCAGCAGAGCTGTGAGATGGTGGGGAAAGCGCTGGGGCAACCTGGGGTGGGAGTTTGTCCCTCTGACTTGTGTTCCTTCTCACTCCAGCCTTACTGTTCCCTGTGCTGGGAGCCGAGGGGTTGGTTTCTCTTGTTTCTTCAAGGTTCATTTGAGGGATTTTGTGCCACGTAATTAAAAGGCCCCTGGAGCTGAGTTGTTGAAAGCTGTGTGGGAGCCGGGGTAAGGTCAGGTTTCTGCACTGAAGGTCATGTTTTTGGTGCGGGCGACTTGAGCTCACAGCAGGGACGAGGTTCAGTCGCCGAGTCATTGCAAAGATCAGGTGTTGCTAGCGAGGTATTCCCTGCACCTTCCAAAGATGGCGTGAGATTTCTCCCCTAATCCCCAGTTTTTCTGCTGACATTATTCCAGATCCATCGTGTCTGTCCCGTCCAGCTGCTCCTCGCGCTGGTGCTGCCCCTCTGTGAGGTTCTCTCACCCCTCAGTCCAGATTTTTGCATTGGGATTTTCTGATGATCCCGATTGCTGGCTCTGCTGGAGTTTTCTTTGTGTCTTCCCTCTCTTTTTCTCCCTCTTTTTTTCTTCTTTCTCGTTTTTTTTCTTCCCCATCAGTGCAGTTAGTCCTTTGCCCAGCAGTTTTCTTCTCCTAACCTTTCAAAAAGATAGTTCTGAAAATATGAGCTGTTTGAGCCTTGTTCTGAGGTGGTAAGTGTTGGTTATTGCTCTCCAGGGGTGTTGAGGGAGGCTGGCAGGGTGGGGAGGGATGGGATGGACAAGCTGCCTGTCCCCTCTGAGCCTGGAACCTCCTGCTCTGCACCCCGTGGAATACAAGCTGCTCACCCCCTGAAAATCCCAATATTAGAAATCCTAGACATGTGTGCATAGGGAAGGGGGTTTGGCAGAGCCATGTGAGCATCCTGAAAATGTTCCATGGGATATTTAATAATGTTGTGTGATGGGGATGGCAGAGGTCCCACTGTTGGGAAGCACCGAGGGCTGTGCTGGTGACACACGTGTGCACACACACACTAGTAAGGAATTTTTTCCTTTGTTTGGGGTTACAATACTGAGTAAACAGCACAGCTCAGACAGGACTTGATCAAATCTCCCTGGTTTTGCTGCTGTGGACGTATTTTTGTGAAAACCCTGCAGGTTGGTGTCACTGACTGGTGTCACTGACCACTGCATTCTCAGGGGCAAAGGAGAAAGGGGCTCTTTATGCCTTTTTTTTTTTTTTAATAGTTTCCTGCTAGAATAATTAGCTTGTCTGAATTTAATATGTTTCTTCTAAACACAAGCTTCCAGAACCGAGGAAAGCGAGCAGTGTGCCTCTTACTGTCAAGGATTACCAGGAATTAATCTTTCAGTGCAAAGGCCACTAATCTCGGGCATGCAAACAGGGTTTATTTAGCTGCGTGCCAGCGCTTAGAGCAGTGATGTATGAAATCCCTGGCAAATTCAGATGCTCTCGCTGCTAATCGCCTGCCCACCTGCTCATCCAGCTCCGTCCCCTGCATCCCAGAATCTGCCTATGGGTGTCAGTCACTGGAGATGGATGGTGACACATGGAGCTGCTGGTTGCCAGCCTGGGCTCTCCTGTGCTGCCCGGCCCACCCTGGGGCAGCTTTGCTGTCAGTAAGTCCCAGCTTTCCTGTTGTGCTGGGAGCTGCCTGGGAGCTCAGCCTGGCACTCGGATTTTTAAGCGAATAACCAAGCTGGGAACAGTGGGAGAACTGGCTGAACTACTGACATACGACGAGCATCTTGCCATGTTCCTGGTGCAGTACACAGGTAACACCTGGGGGGCTGTGGGATTCTCCGAATGTGCTGCCATGTCGGATTTTCTGGGGTTGCCAGAAGTAACTATTGGAATTCTTCTGCTCTCATCAGTGTGCCTGGCCAGCCCCTGGGTCAGGTTGGTGATTTGTGAAGCTCTAACAATGGTATCTAAGCCAGGAGTGCAGTAGAGAAACATGCACGAGCCCAACAGTGGTTTTTGAACTTGAGAACCAGTCTCTGAAAGGAAACGGTTGGGGTCAAAATACAACTTCAAAGCCTTGGTGTCTCTCTCCCTTCCCTGCTGGTCTGTTTTCTCTCTGTGTTCTAATCGATTGCTGCAGGTGTACTTTGGTGTCTGCTAAAGTGCATTTCTTGAGGGCTTAAAACTAGCGTGTGTAATCACGTGGCACAGTGTATCCCAGAATCCAGTTTATTCCTAAAAGCACAGGGACCCTGCTCAGGCTGAGCACTGTTTATTTCATACATTTGCCAATGTTGGCAAAAGGTAAATCCGTATTTATAGTAAAGCCTGTGTCAGCCCATTTCTGGAGTTCCCCTGATGCTGGATAAGAGAAGTCTGGTAAGTGTTCAGAGGAGTCCAGGGGAGCCCAAAATGTCACCTGAGGGGTTCAGAGGGACCTGGGGCATCCCAGAAAGTGAGTTGAGGAGGTCAGAGGAACCCAGGGGTGCCCAAAATGGATCCCAAAGGAGTTCAGAGGTTTTCATGGCACCCCAAAAGTGACCTGAGGAGGTTGGAGGACTTCAGGGGACCTGAGGGGTTCAGAGGAGCTCAGGGTACCCTAAAATGTCACCTGAGGGGTTCAGCAGAACCTGGGGCACCCCAAAACATAACCCAAAGTAGTTCATAAGGTTCCAGGACACCCCAAAATATGACCATACAAGCACCAGCCTGCATGGGCTTTTTAAGTGTTATCACTGAAATGCTTTTAGGTGTGTGACAGTGTCAGAGTACCTGTTAACAGTTTTAATTTGAGTTTTGGGGCAGAGGTTTTATGTTCCTGCCGCTTATTAACTAGTTGGATGTCAGGAAAATGATTCCAGTGCCTGACCAGGGTGAGGCTGCTGCTGGAGTGTGTGGTTCCAGAGCAGTGCCAGGCTTGTGGCAGAGCTGCCATCGCCACTTAACTGAACGTTCCTAAACCCAACAGGGGAGATTTTGCCCAAATCCCGAGGTGGCAGCCCCGGTGGTTGCTGTGTTCCTGTGCAGGCACAGTAGGTCTGCGTGGGAGCAGCACAATCCCATGTTTCAGTTGAGATTTCCAGTGTGTTTGGCTCTTGATAATGGGAGTGATCTTAAACCAGGCTTTTCAGTTCACCTCGGGGATTGTTTCGTGTTTCTTCTTCCCCTGGTAATTAAGGCAAATAGCCAAGCTCTGTTTGCAGGGTTGGAAAACCAAGTCCTGTCCTGGGTCTGGCATGGGACCCAGTGAAGATGGATACTGCCCTTGATTTATGCCTGGAACATTGAGATCTTCCCTGTCTCCAGCCCCTTTCTGAGCGTGTGCTGTGAAAGCTGCAGCCATATATAGCCCCAGCATGGACCTGGATTGATCCTGATGGAATGGGAGGCTGTGCATTGTTAGTGCTGTTTAGGCCAGCAGGAAGCTGCAGCCTCTCTTCCATAAAACACACCTCAACACCTACTTCCATAGAAGGAAGACCACCCACAGCAGCCTGCTGTGCTGTGGGAGAGGCCTTGCTCAGAGTCACCTTCTGCTCATCTTTAAGCATCTCTCCTTTTTTTTTTTTTTCTCCCTGATCTGTTTTTTCTAGTGAGGAATCTTCTAGCCCAAGTTTTTTATTTTTAAAGGTTTAGTCACTGCATTATGGCAGTGCCTGGTGGCTCACTCCTGAAAATTGACTCTTCTGAAAATCCCTGGAGATACGTGAGGGAAGTGCTTGGAGGTGAAGGGCACACTGGCACCTGTGCCACGTATGGCTCTGGAAATGCTGACACTGGTCTGACACTCGCTGGAAACCCAAATTTTCTCCTTCCCCCTTACCTTCTGCATAGCATTTCCCTGCAAATACAGAATTCTGCTGATTTTGGCCTTTCCAGGCTGGCTTGCTGCAGGAAAACTGAGCAAACCCCCGTGACTTGCTCCAGTGCTGGTCCCTTCCCTCCTGAGCAGAGCAGCTTGGAATGGCCCAGGACACTTTGTTCTGGTTGCACAAAGGACAGAGAGGTGCTTGTGTTTGTACCTCATGACTGTAGTGGCTGAGCCTGTCAGCTTTTACCCTGCTCTGTGCCCAGGAGAGAGGGGGGGATTTTCTGCAGCTTCAGCTTTCTTCTGAGCACGTTCTCTGTATGCAGTGGGATGTGTTTGGAGCTCCAGTTCTTGGCTGAGATGATGGGGAGAGGTAGTCAGACCTGAAGGTGCCTGCTGTGCGTGGCATTTATCATATGTAGGATGGAAAATCTGACGTAATGAAGGGTTTCTTACTTCAAAGAGTGTTGGGAATCTTCTCTCTGGCTTGATTTAACTCTTGGAGCAAACTCTGTGCTGCAAGGGAGTGCCAAGCATGGTCCCTGCTGGAAGTAGGTCTTGGGATCCCAGAAGTCCTTGTTGGAGGAGCTACCAGGATGTCTCGTGAGTGGGACCAAGAGAGACTGCATTCTCTCTAGTGCTGTTTCTAGACAGCACTACCCACAAAATATATTCACTGTGAAGGAACTGCTCAGTTTCCAGCCTGTGCCTGCAAAGGAAAAGCTGCTGTGGTTCGTGATCTCATCAGCTTCCATTTTCTGTGACTTCTCAGTATTTGGCTTGTGGGATTCTAGTTGGAGGCTATATTAGGACACTAGTGGGCTTGTCTTCCAGTGGCCTGGTACCATGTGAAGTTGTAAACGTAGAGCTTTAAAGTCCTGTTAAAACCCCAGAAAGTCCTGTTTCCACCTTTGGAAGAGTTTTAGGCACTTTGGAACAGGGTATTGAGGAAGCAAGGCAGCTTTAAACCAGCTCTTGTGTGGTAATTGGCTTGGAAGGACAAAAACACGTGTAAGTGGGAACGAAGTTTTCACAGCAAGTGCAGACATGGTGCGAATGTTCCTCCTTTCCTCATGCAGTGTGGTAAGGTTTTTGGACACCTTGAGCTTCATTTGAAGCAATCACATTTTCTCTCTTTAAGTCTGGTGTCCTAATGCAGAGAATCACAGGAAGGAATTGTTGGCCTGTGAGATATCAGTTGGAAAAAAGGCTCTAGGAAAGCCAGTTCTGGAAATCTGGGAGCAATATAATAATTTTTGTTCTTGTTTGTACTCTTGTGCCCTCACCGGGCTGGTGTGGCTGCTTTTGGATTGCTCTGGGAGACACGACTGAGGTTCAAAACAACCCCAAATCCTCCCGTGGGAGCACGTGAGGGGTTTGACTCTGACCTCCTTGCTTCTCTTGGTGTGGGCTCTCCACGAGGATGAACCGAGCTGTGACTGAGGAGACTGAACCCGAGTCTGGTGCCTTGGTCCCACTGTGCAGTCACCTCTGAGCATTAACCTGACACCCCAAATTCGTACCAGCACAAAAAATGTTGCTGCATTCACGTCTGGGGATCATGTGCTGCCTCCGTGAACGAACATATCCGATTGCGTCTGATGGAGAGCCCATAAATTATAGATTTTTTGGAAGAGGGATGTTCATGAAGCGGCTGGAGCAAACCTCTGCTCTGTTCTCCCAGGAGTGTCTCGGGTTGTCTTTGTGATGCTTTGGCTGGTTGTGCCCACATCTCTCAGCTGTCTCAGTGGTGCCCAGTGGAAGGTCAAAGGGCACATCAAAATACAGGAAACTCAACTCAGCCTGAGAAAACTTGCAGCGCCTGTTTTGGAGGTGCCTGTTTTGGAGGTGCCCGCTTTGGAGGTGTGTTCCAAGTGGTCCTGTTGGTTCTGGGGCACAGGCTGAGCTCCTGTGCCAGCCCTGCAACCTCATCTGGCTGCAGGGCAGGTCTGACAAGTTCTGGAGCACTGGGGAAGCTGGAGGTGAGGATCAGCTGAGGGGCTGATTTGGGATCTCCTTAGTCTCTTCCTAGTGACATACAGTGCCTGGAGGAACTGTGCTGCAGGCTTAGCCTGCTGCTGCTCATCACCCCAATTTGAGCATGACTCTGGGAGCTTTGGGACAGGTCTGTCCAGTCCCAAAGCCAGCAGTGGTGTTCCTGTGCCTCTTCAAGAGCGTTTTACTCGCAGTTGCACCAGCCTCCCCTTTCCCTTTGCTCCTCAGCAGCTATTTAAACAAGTTGTGACTAGGCTGATCTTTTGGTGCAGGAGATAACCTGGAGGAGAATTCCTCAGGAATGCTTTTGATTACTGGCTGCCTTCCTGGGCTTTTCGGAGGGCTCGATGAATTCTGGCAATGTCCCTTTCTTTTATTTTTAAATTGTTCTTCTGGTCCCTGCCTTTGAGGCATCGGGCTGGGTGTTTACAGGTAGAAATGACTTAAGAGGAGAAACAAGTACTTATTAATTACTGCTCAGTTCTCCATCACCGTGGTCTCCTCTCTTCATTTTAATGATCTCCTCTTGTGAGTCCATATGCTGAAGGCAGGAGACGTGCTGGCTCCCAGCATGGGGAGGGGGTGGACAGTCAGAGCTGCTGCTGAAGACTCACGAGCATTTGTAGGGCTGCTTCTGCTCCTTCCTATGTGTCAGGTTGGAACTGGAACCTTCTGTGAGCAATTGGGACCCACTAATCCAGCAGAACATTATCCATTTCCCAGGAGCTGCATTAATTTCTGCCCTGGGCTTGAGCTGAGTCTGATCATGGAAGGTCTCTGGGGCTGGCACAGGTGCATGGGGGGGTGTGGACCTCCTGCTCTGGCATGAGCTGGGCGCTCAGTTCAGGCACTTTCTTAGGCTTGACTCATGCCCTGACTGGCAGAGGGAGTGCTGGCTGTGCAGCCTGAGAGCTTCCTCAGGGTTTGTCCTGTTCCAAAGGAATCTGGTTGGCTTTTTTTCCAAAAAACAACAATAGAAATCCTTTTGCCAAGAACACAAGGAGTTTTTCACTCCTTGTTACCTGCTGGAGCCAGCTGCCTCCCTCCCAGCACAGCCATTAGAGCCTGTGCAGCATCCAAGTGCTCCTCCTGCACCACAGGGCGTAATCAAGCATCCCAGCTCAAACTGGGGATGGAAATCGTAGGGATAAGTGGGTTGGGAAGCAGTGGGTGAGCAGTGTCCATTGGCATTCAGGTGCTGGTCAGTGCCAGGTGTCTCCTGTCAGAGCAGGGTGTCTGTCCATCCTGGTGACACCAGTGTCCAGCTGTATCACTGCTTGTCCACGTTGTTCCCTGCTCCCAAGTGTGGGAAAACTCTTGTTCAAGTTTAATGTTGCCTTTTCCATCACCTGGATAATAATGGAGGCAAACCTTGCAATTACTCCTTTTCCTTTCTCCTTGTGTCTTCCCTGCGTACGGCCTCTCTATTTTTAACCTGGGGCCTCCAGATTTGTTTTCCTGAGCCCTTGTGACCTCTGTGATATTTTGACTTTGGAATATTTAAGACACAGCATTGTAGGCATCCTGCATAGCCAGGCGTGACTATTGTTGTTGCCAGCTGAATAGTCGTTATTTTTTTGGCTGCTTCTGGAGTTCTCACCTTTCAGTGGCTGGGAGAGGAGCCCTCCAGGCTCCCTGTGTCCACTTGGCTATTTACAGCTGCACCCAGCAGCCACGTTTATTAAAGTTCTTGGAAGTGGAATCCTCTGGAATAGAAATCACAACACTGCAAAGTGTCTGGAGGAAGGTTTGGTACAAATGCCTCGGCCCAGCGGTGCATTGGGACGGGATAATTGTCATCTGTGGTGCTCTGGCAGTTCTGCTGATTCCCCTTGGAATTGTGGTTGTTTTTCTTACTTTATATGGATCTAGATTTTCTTACTTTATAGGGGTCTAGATTTGTTTGGGTTTTGTATTTTTTTCTTTTTTTTTTCATTGTCTGTTCAGAGTGAGTTTGCTGAGAAAAAAGTAAATCAAACTGAATATTTTAATGCTCCTTCGGTCTTGCATCCCTGCAAGTGCTGACTGTGACAGAAGGTGGAGTGAGGAACTGGGTGCTCAGTTCAGAGCACTGGACCCCTCTCTTGAGCCTGGAGAAAAGGAGTCTCAGGGGTGACCTTCTCACTCTCTACATCTCCCTGACAGGAGGGTGGAGCCAGGTGGGGATCAGGCTCTGCTCCCAGGGAACAAGGGACAAGAGGAAACAGCCTCAAGCTGTGCCAGAGGACGTATAGATTGGATATTAGGGAACATTTCTTCACAGAAAGACTTGTCAAGCCCTGGCACAGGCTGCCCAGGACAGTGGTGGAGCCACCATCCCTGGAAGTGTTCAAAAAACACGTGGATGTGGCACTTGAGGACATGGTTTAGTGCTGAACATGGTGGTGGTGCTGAATGACGGTTGGACTTGGTGATTTTAAAGATCTTTTCCGACCATAACAATTCTATGATTCTCAAACCCGCTGTGATTAACTGCACACTGGAAGCTTTAAGTTTGGAGACTCCATTAATTTGGAATTGTTTACAAAGCACTTGTGTCTTGTTACCTGTAGTTTAAGAAACAGAGCATTTTAGGGAGGTGGGACTGTGTTCTGCTGGCACATAAATGCCATTAATTGTCCATGACCTGCAGTCTGCCCACCACAGATCTGTGGGTGGATCATCCAATAGCTGCTTCAGACTCACTCTGAAGTGGGTGTAATTCCTTGCATTAGGGAATACACTGGAAGCTGCAAACCAATTTTTTCTGCAGTCCTCTTTGGTTCAATTCTGCATAATTTGCTTAGATCTTTACCTTCAGTTTACTTAATTTATAAGGCTCGATCTGCATTTATTCCTGAGTAAACCTCACTGTTGTTAGATCTTCTTTATCAATAGCAAAGCCCGAGCAGCAGGACTCGAGGCCCTCTGTCTTTGAGCACTGAGGTTCTTAAAATGAGCGTGAGGAGGAGTGTGGTCCTGTGGGCTGGGTCTGGAGCTTCCCTTTTCAGGGATGTGCATTCCAGAACCCCTTCCATGCCCATGAAGGGGAACAGCTGCCTGCCAGACACTTTGAATAAAAATTCCAGTAGTACCTTCTGGTTTTGAAGATCTTCTAAGTCGTGCCTTGTTTTTTGGTAGTAAATAAGTTCAAGTGAATTCACAGCTGGTGACACTTAAGTAACTATTAAAAATGTATTTCTGTACTGGAAGAAATAGGAAAAAATCCTTGTCCTTTGAGTTTCCAGGCATGAAAAGCTGATTAACAGAGGGGAGACGCACCCCTGGCTTACACTGCCAGGCAGTTTGATTTGTGTGGGTGCTGGGATTGATGTTAGTGAGTAATATTTTATGGTGGTATCATTCAAGTGTGGCTGGGCCCTGTAAGCAGGAGGCACAATTCCCCCAGGGCCTGGAGTGCTGCTTGTGCCTGGAACTGGGCGTTTCTCTCATTCCTGTGGTTCTGAAGCATCACAAACCAGACTGAAGGAAGTCTCTGAGTGTGTGTTTGTTTTTTTATTTTTATTTTAGGCTTAAACCACCTGCCCTTTGATCCTGCCAGCACCACCGAGTCCCTGCAGCTGGGCAGCGCCGCTGGCCCCCAGGTGTCGGAGAGCCCGGCCGAGGATGGAAGTGATCCAGGAAAGAGGAAGAGAGCAATTCCTCCAGGTGAGCTGAGTGGCAGCTCCATTGCTGGCAGCAGGGAAGGGATCCACGTAGCATAGCCTAAATCCAGCTGCTGTGCTGGGTGTTGGTGTGGAAGGTGGGCAGGTAGAGCTGTGCTCTGGTCTGGTGTGCCCGGAGCCATGCTCGGATTGTGGGATCTCCACAAGGAGAACACAGAGACAGAACAAGGGGGAATGGCTTCACAGGAACAGGGCAGGGTTAGGTGGGATATTGGGAAGAAATTCTTACCTGTGAGGATGGTGAGGCCCTGGCACAGGTTGCCCAGAGAAGCTGTGGCTGCCCCATCCCTGGAAGTGTTCCAGGCCAGGTTGGAAAGGACTTGGAGCAATCTGGTCTAGTGGAAGGTGTCCCTGCCCATGGCAAGGAGATGGAATGGGATGGTCTTTAAGGTCCTTCCCACCCAAACAATTCTAGGATTCTCTATAGCTGTCCCAATAGTTTTATTTTTCTAATTGAATAATATCTCAAAATCATGACCATAATTAGAAGCATGATAAGGCAGATGAGCCCAAATGACTGGAGACATTCATCTTTACGAAAATGTCATAAAAGCAAACTGTTAGATTAATCATATGATGTTGTAATATCAGATCAAGGAGTCCTACAAAAAATATTTCTTTGATGCCATCTTCAGGATTTCTCTGAGTGATTGGGAAAAAAACCCCCACACAGAATAACATCTTTGCAGATTATATTGTGGTTGAACACTGCAATCCCACCAGTGTGACTTGGGGAATGTGGCACCTGCTCGTGCCATGGAGGTGAGGTGTTACAGTGTGTGCAGAACAGTCTCTCTGTACTCCCTCTATAATCCCTCCCTTAGTAACTTTTCCATAAGGAGGTGCCAGGTGCAGAGGGATGAGGCTGGACCTGAGGCAGAAGGAAGGTGATGTGCAAAGACCACGGCTGCAGAAACAGGGTGAAATGTAATTGGGTAGAGAGAAGGTCCAACTCTCTTTCCCTGGAGAGAAAAATCATTTAAAGGAAATTTGAAGGAAAATCTGGATCTTTACAGTTTACAGCAGTTTAAGGATGGTTTTGAGGTGCTGAGAGAGCACAGGAGAGCTCCAGTGGGAGCAAAGAGCTGAGCCTCTTGTCCTTCTCATGTCTCCTTCTCCCTCCCCATCCTTCGCCTTCCCATCTATGTTTGAACAAACTCAGGCATTTCTGCATGTGGGCCCCTCTCACTAAAACCTGCACAGACAAAAAGAACAAGTGTCTGTCAAGTGGGAGCCAGGTAAAGGTGTGTCTGACCCAGCCAAATCACTGAAGAGAATTTGAATGCTTAGTCAAACCCTGTGTTTGTGTAGTGTCAGTGGCTCCAGCTGGATTGCCTGGTAGTTCTGCTCTGCTGGTCCTGCTGCTGACAACAGCACGTTGTTCTTTGCTTCCTTTCCCCTTTGAGTGTGGAAGAGAAGTGACTTCCAGTGGCAGTGGGAGGATTCTGCTGGGACAACCTGGCCAGCTCTGTTCAGTTGAGTGCAGTTTCACAGTTTATACCTGCTGGATGTGTGTCCTTTGTTCATAAATCTCTTGGGAGGAATCAGTGTCCCGTTACCTTTCCACCGGTGTTTCATCAAGGCCCCTTAGAGCTGTTAATTGCAGTGGATAAACCATAACTGAGGTGCTTTGAGGTGTTTTCCTAGACCTGGCTGCTGTAAACGTTGGTTGCTCCAGAGGGACAGCACCGCTTGTTTTTTTCCCATCTGGCTTTTCCCCGAGCATTGGGCTCAGCTGTGGGTTTGGGTGCTGACACTGCAGAGCCTCGCTGGGCAGCGTGTGCCCTGCTGCCCTAAGCTCTTAATCACTTTTATTTTCCTCTCAGCAGATGGTGGCAGAAATCTGAGCCTGGACTCCATTCCGATGGGATTGCCAATGTCCGACCCGACCGCCTGGGCCACCGCCATGAACAACCTGGGGATGGCTCCCATGGGCATGACAGGACAGCCCCTCCTGCCTGGTGAGCTGAGCCAGGCCCTGCCCACCTTTCCTTTTGGACAGGTCTTTGGAAATAACCTGTTTCAGTGCAGTTGGGTAAACACCCACCACGCACACAACCACGTGGACAAGCTGTGCTTGAAATACATTAAATCTGCAAATGATTTATTTAGAGACCTGTTTGAGAGGATACATATTTTTAAATGCAAATAGTTATTCTGGGGTGCCTCCAGATATTCTGCAGTGGATGAGGAGGAAGAGGATGCCACGCAGAGCTCAGGAAACCGGTGATACCCAGGAACACGTTACTCTAAGCTGAACTGGAATGGCTTAAAAGGAAGGGTGGGAGGGAGATGAAGAGAAAAGCAACAGGGCAGCAAATTGGATATGGCAAAAATTAATGGAGGATTCTGTTCTAGGAATGACCACCTTGTCTAGAATACATGTGCATGGGTCAGTCATCCTGTCCAGGGTGAAAGAGCTCCTGTGAGAACAGAGCTGGGCTGTGCCTGGTTTCCCAGCAGTGCAGGATTCTGGACATCAAAGTCCTGAACTGACCTGACTGTTCCACGGCTTTGCTGCACTAAGGAGGATGCTCTCTCCTGCCTGAACATTTGCCTGCTCACCTGGGGAGGGAATGTCTGTGTTGGCAGCACTCTGCAATCCCATTTCTGCTCTTTTGGCACAGAGCAGGTTGTTTGCTGTGCAGCCTATACATATTTAACAGCATCACTTAACTTGCCCTAAGTTTTGCCTGCAGTCTGTGCTCTTGGAATAATAGAATCATGGAATGGTTTGGGTTGAGAAGGACCTTAAAGCTCATCTTGGTCTAACTCCTACCATGGGCAGGGACACCTTGCATTAGACCGGGTTGCTCCAAGCCCGTGTGTCACAGGTGTCTTTCTGTGGACAAACCTCACTGGGAAGTGCTTGCCACTAGATGGGAGCTGGTGTCTACAGAGGGGAGAAGGAAGTACTTTATTTTAACAGAGAAAAGTTATTTGACTGAGGCAATCAGCAATGAAATAGTTTTAAAAAGTTCTTTTAAGGGCATAAACCTGAAGTTTGATGTTGCCATGTTCCCCCTCTGGTGTTTGTTCAGCTGATTTGCACTGGCACGTGTGGGAGTGTACCTCGTTTGCTGTCCAAGTTCACAGTCACTCCATGACTCCAAACCCCCACCTGACTCCCTTATTCTCTCCCCCTTTTAGACTTTGATCCTGCTCTTGGGATGATGACTGGAATCCCTCCGATCAACCCCATGATGCCGGGCTTGGGGATCGTCCCACCTCCCATCCCTCCAGACATGCCTGCTGTGAAGGAGATCATTCACTGCAAGAGCTGCACTCTCTTCCCTCCTAACCCACGTAACTGTGCTTTGTCCTGTCTCTGTAGCAATATCTGTGTGTTTATATTTATGTAAAACCCGGGGGTGTGTGAGAGAAGGGCCATTCCTGTACCTGGGCACAGCAGGTCTGGGCTGAGTCGCTGTGACTCACTGCTGGCAGGAAGGTGACAGGGCAACAGGAAAAGCCTGTTCTTGTCACTGAGTGTTTGCCATTTCCAGAAATAGCCTCTTCAGTTGTCAGGTTGATAAGGATGGGGAAGAAAAGATCCCAGCCTCTGGATATTTGAAGTCTTTATCTAAGGCTTGGAGGTGAGGAGCATGGTCCATGCTGAGCCATGGAAGTGCTCTGGGGTTTGCAGAATGGGGTGGAAGGAGAGCAGGGGCAGTTGGAAATAAGAGAGAAAACTGAAGAAACACAGGGCTCACCAGGCTGTAGCAGGAAACAGGGATCCCCTTCCCACTGGCTGATGACCCTTTCTCCTCACTTCAGTGATAAGAACCAGAGGGGTGAAAACCAAAACAGACATGATACAGGGACATGTCTGTCACTGATAGTGTGGATCTATGTGGGAGGGTGTAGCTCAGGCAGGAATGTCTGGAGCCTGTGCAGTTGCAGCACAGAGAATCCTCTGTATACATTTGCCATGTATTATTTACACGAGGACAGTTTTTTAAACTGTGATTTTGTAGCACCTCCCACCATGAAGTTTTGAGCCCCTGGTGCTCCTTGTGTTCTGTGACAGCAGCTCAGTGAGCCTGTGCTTGCACTTGAGAGGGTGTTTGAAGGGCTCCAGGCTCCTGAGATGTTTTATTTGGAAACAGGCAGGTAAACATGTCCTTGAAGGATGCCAGCAAGGTGTGGTCATCCCTCAGGAGAGGTGGACAGATTGTAGCGGGGAAGGATGCTGAAACTGAAACCATACACCTTTGAAAGCTCAACAAAACAATATTTATTACAAAGAGGTGGCCAACAGAATGAGAAACCAAGAGACAGGAAAGAGGAGAGAGGGAAATAAGCCCTCAATAAACCCCCCACTCACGCAGCTGTTACTTAGGAGGTTGACTAAGCCCGGATACACAGATGGAAGGCACACGTGCTGACGACCCAAAAACTGACCTGCTCTGATTTCTCTCTTCAGATCTTCCCCCTCCAGCCACAAGGGAGAGGCCCCCGGGGTGCAAGACGGTGTTTGTTGGAGGGCTGCCAGAAAACGGGACGGAGCAGATCATCATGGAGGTGTTTGAGCAGTGTGGGGAGGTCATCGCTATCCGCAAGAGCAAGAAGAACTTCTGCCACATCCGCTTTGCTGAGGAGTTCATGGTGGACAAGGCACTTTACCTGTCTGGTGGGTGTGTTTGTCTCAGATGGCAGCTTAAAATTCTGGGACAGAGATGTGATCCCAGTAGGATTTGGGGCAGATTTATCTAATGCTGTGTCAGTTTGCCCTTCTGCTGCCATTGTGTTTCTGCTTAAATACGTGACAGCAGCTCCTGAGAGGAAAGACAGTGTAAGGTAAAACATATGGATTTCCCAAGAACGCCAAGGCAGTGGAAGGATTAAAAAAAAAGGTTTATTTAAGATGCAAGGACCACTTCTTAACTATGCTGCACACACCGGGCCCCAGGGAAAAAAGGCAGTGCCTGTCTAATCTCCAAGGCTTTTTGTATCTTCTCTCTCTCCTCACCCACTCTCTCTGGCCTGAGGAGGTCTAGTACATGTCTGCAAAGATGTTATCTCTCTGCATACCAGGGAGAGGTAGCTTGCTTACAGCTTCTCCCTGCAACTTTCTCTGAAGTACAGGAGGGAGAACAAAACACATCTAACCCATTTGAGAAGGCATTTTACAGTCTTCCTAAGCGAAATCGAGTTCTAGCTTTCCGTCACAAATCCTTCTGAAATTGTCCCTACCTCCACAGACAGCAATGCTTTGTCATCTGGAAACCTCCACAAAATGTTGGGCTGAGGTAGAGTCCATGTTCATCTCACCTGGGTAAACATCCAGCTGATTCTTTAGACGGTGCTGAAGGGTCCCTGTTGCTCCCAATTGCTTATGAATTGGCTGGTGTGCTTGACTTTTATGAGGATTTTGTCCCTTTGAGCCATCAAAACTGAACCCACCTCCCTGGGCTCCTTTTGCCTGGGGAGCCCCACATAAGCCCGACCCCTTGTCATCCCCACCAGGCTACCGCATCCGGCTGGGCTCCAGCACGGACAAGAAGGACACGGGGCGCCTGCACGTGGATTTTGCCCAGGCCAGGGATGACCTGTACGAGTGGGAGTGCAAGCAGCGGATGCTGGCGCGGGAGGAGCGGCACCGGCGGCGGCTGGCGGAGGAGCGCTTCCGCCCGCCCTCGCCGCCGCCCGTCGTCCACTACTCCGACCACGAGTGCAGTGTGGTGGCCGAGAAGCTGAAAGGTGGGTGACTCTCTGGGGGCCGTGGCCGCCCTTCTGTCCAGTGCTGGGCAGAGCTCTGTGTTCGCCGGGGGTTGTCTTGCTGAGCGGAGGTTGCCCCTGGCGGCTCTCCGGGCCGTCTCCCTCTCAGGATTGTTTCTTTTTGTCAAAACAAATCTGTGCTTGAATTTATATTCATAGAATCCTGGGTTGGAAGGGACTTCAAGGCTCACCTGGCCCAACCTTTCTTGGCAAAAGCACGGTCTAGGCCAAATGGCTCAATGTCCTGCCCGGCCCAATGTCCTGCCCAGCCCAATGTTGAAAGAATCTGATATCACAGAATCAACTAGGGTGGAAAAGTCCTCTGAGATCATCGAGTCCAACCGATGACCCAATACTGCCTTGTCAATTAGACCATGGCACTGAGTGCCTCATCCAGTCTTTTCCTAAATACCTCCAGGGATGGTAGCTCTACCACCTCCCTGGGCAGCCCATTCCAATGTCCCAATCACTTCTTCCTAATGTCCAACCGAAACCTCCCCTGGTGCAGCTTAAGACTTGTGCCTTCTTGTCCTACTGCTGGTTGCCTGGGAGAAGAGACCGACCTTCACCTTACTACAACCTCCTGCCAGGGAGTTTTAGAGAGATATTGGGGAATCCAGCACTTCCCATGGCTGATTGTTCCCATTGTGAAAAATTGACCTCTTCTGCCCAATGGGAGTCTCCCCAGGAGTACCCATTTCCCCTCATCTTCTCCATGTGACCCCTTGTAAAAAAAGGAGTTTCCATGTTTTTTGTAGCCCCCCTTTATATCCTGGAACATGGTGGCACGATCTCCCCTAAATCTTATTTTCCCAAGACTGAACAAACCTTTGGAGTGCAACAAACTTGCGCAGATCAAAACCGTTCAGTACAAGTTTCTTCCAGAAAATTTTGGTTAAGGTTAAAAGGACTAGTATAAGTCCTAATACCTAGTTTGAAGCCGAAGACCCATGTTTGGCCCAATAATTTTGGAGCTGGAGGGTATTTCCTTTCACAAAAGGGTACGTGTGAGTAGACGTGAAGTTTTGCAGTAGGTTTCTAGCAGTTGATCCTCCTCTTGTTGCACCTCAGCAGGTGATTTGCTCCATGAGTTTGGTTTTAGACTTTGCCTGCCTTTGTACAGCCGTGGGTTCAGATCATTCCATGCTTCCAGGAGTTGTCATGAGCCACCTGAAGGAAGCTGACCATTGAAAGAGCAGTTCAGCGCCAGGGAAAGGACCTGAAAGCTGCCCGGGCAACCCCATACCTGTGGTGTAAAAAGCTGTCCTTTCTTGCTACAGATGACACAAAGTTCTCAGAAGCCATCCAGACCTTGCTGACCTGGATAGAGCGTGGGGAAGTGAACAGGAGAACTGCCAACAACTTCTACTCCATGATCCAGTCGGCCAACAGCCACATCCGCCGGCTCGTCAACGAGAAAGCGGCTCACGAGAAGGAGATGGAAGAAGCTAAAGAGAAGTTCAAACTGGCTCTCTCAGGGATCCTGGTGCAGTGTGAGTAGTGTTTCCACACTGGATGTTGGTTGTCTGGTGTAGGGAAAACTCTCAGTTCCTAGTCTGGAGAGGCCACACTAAAAGGGCTCCAGGAAAAGAAGTAGCAATGGCTTCCATGCAGCTACAGCTCCTTTAGAACCAGGTGTCATTCACTTGGCAAAAATTCCTCGTGGTACTTTTTGCTGGGGTAAGAGTCCACATCTGGGGGGGGAGGAGAGAATGAGTGCTGAATTTGTTTCCTCTTTTAATTATCATCTGTTAGTAGTTCTGTCATCTTTTCAACTCCTCCTGTGCACAGACAAGGTAAGTTCCTGGGAATCTGGTGCCTCAGCGAAGTGTGCAGGATTTATTCACCAAAGGTAGGACACAGCAGAGTGTTTCCAACAGCCTGTTGCAGAACCTGGGTCTTTCAAATCCTGGTACTTTATTAAATGAGGAAATAAGGAGGAGGCATGGACTGTATTAATTCCAGAATGTGTTTTGTAACAGTTTCTCAGACCATTCATTGCCTCTTACACATCTCTGTTAGAGTAAATCTGAGTATTTTTATTTCTTTATGAATACCTTCTCCACAATTGTACTAATTTTCTTTGATCCTCTTGCCTGGGTTGTGAACATTCTTAACTTTTGATTTTATATCTAATAATTTCAGCTGTTACTTGATTTTTTTTTTTTAAATTCTTTTTTTCTTTAAATTCTGTTACTGTTAAAAAATATGGGCACACGGTCCAGAGGGACATACATTGAGCACTGCAGAGTAAGTAATAATAGAGTCTAGTGTGTAACTCCACTCCCTAAAACACAGCTGAGATCTCAGCCACTCTTAGGTTACTCTGAGGAGCAGGGAGATGCTGTAATTGTTACAAAATAAAAACTACTGCATCACAAGCATAAAAACCCAATCAGGTAGATGTGCTTTGTGCTGTGGGTGAGCACTCAGCCAAGGAGAAGCACTTTGTATATTCAAAATGCTTTTTGGGAATTTTCTAGAGAAACGGAAGGAATAAATTTCAGGACCAAGAAAAGCTGATGGAAAGTGCCAGGATCCTTTTCCTGTAGGTCACACAGGCTGTGGCACTGTCCTTTGGGATGTCCCAAGGGCCAGAACTCACGGTTGGACCTCATCATCCCATTGTGGAGGGCGAGTCCTGCCCCCCTGGACTCCTTACACTCCCAGCCAGCCTCGCACAGCAGATTTGGATATTTTTCAGCACACACATGCTGCCCTTTTTTTCCACGTGTCCTGCCTATTTCCCAGCTGAGAGCAGAGCCCGTTTCCCAGTTGGTTGTTACCTGGGAGTGTTTGGCAGAGGCCTGGTGAAGCCCCCACTTCTCTTTCCAGGCACTGAGCCTCTTCCCTGAGCGTAGCATCAGCACAGTACAGTGTTATAAGAAAAGGGTAGCCAAACCACCTGCCTGATTCCACTTTTTTACTCCTTTACTCCTCTTGTTCGCCCTCTCTGGATGCTATTCGGGCCCGATTTGCTGCTGATTTGACACTCCAGTCGAGCAGATAGTGGCCGTGTACCATTCTGCCTCCAAACAAAAGGCTTGGGACCATTTCACGAAAGCTCAGCGTAAGAACATCAGCGTGTGGTGCAAACAAGCAGAGGTTGGTAATCTTTTCTTGTGTTAGAATCCTCCAGCACGGTCTCTTGCTTGTCAGGATGTTGATGTTAAGTGTGCACGATGCTCGCGTGGATAACAACACCTTCGTTCACAGCGTGAGGTGGGAATTGCTCACTCGGCTCTCGTGTTACAGGTAATAAATTTCCTCTTGGTATTTGTGTTACTTTGTAGCAATACATCGAGACCTGTCTGCTGATTGAAGCTGTGTGCAATGACAGTAGTAATAATAGTAATATAAATAAATATTGATTTTTGTTCTGCTGGTTTTAGTATTAAAGGAAGAGGAATTTCTAGAGAGATGGTAAAAAAAAACCAAACGACAACAAACCCTAAATGTCATCAGAATCTGTTTTATCACATTTTTATGTGATATTTCAACTTTGAGAGATGGAAATAATTGCAGCTGGACAGCCTGGAAAGCTTGAGGGAGGATGTTTTCAGATAAGGGAGTCAGGCAGAATGTCAGAAAAAAGGAAGCTAAGGTAAAGAAAGGGGGTCCATTGGGAAAGTGGTGGTCTGGGGAGATGTTTGTCCTGGGGTCTGTGACCCAGGGGCAGGACCTTGCACTTGGCCTTGTTCAGTCTCATGAGGTTTGATCCCACTCCTCCACACTGTCCTGGTCCCTTTGGTTGTCATTCCTTACCTCTAGTATAAATCTTCCTTCAGTTCTGGGTTTTTCTTGAATATCAAGTTCCTTATTACAAACTTGGAATAGGCACATCTATCCCAGCAAAGCCAGGGGTTGTCTTTCACCTTTAAGATTATTTGACGTCAAAAGTGAAATCGGGCAAAGCTGAGAGGCTGGTGGTCCGTGATCACCACAGGCTGGGGATGTCCAGGCCTGTGATCCCCATGGATTGGAGGTGTCCAGCCCACCTTCCCATACAGCTGCCACCTGGGAAGAATCTGTAGCTCTGGATCATACCCAGCCAGGGCCCTTCTGGTAACAAGCAGATGGTCCCTGCTCCACCATGGTGGAACACTCCAAATGGCTGTGTTGTCCTGGGAAGTTTCCAGCTGTGATCTCCCCGTGAGAGTGCACTTCTGGGACTTTGAAATTCCCACTGACTCAAACCTCTGTAGTAGCTAAAGCAGGAGCCAAGGTTTCCTCTCCACCTGAGAAGCCCAGTGCAGTGTGACTCAGACTGTTCCTCCACCCTGAGCCCCAGTGCTCCCGTTCTTCCCCTGCTTTCTGATTGCTCGCTATGGCTGGGGTGGGAGCTCTCTCTCCAGTTGGAGCTGTCTTTTGTTCCAAGGTAAGTTCTCCCGGTGGGAAGAGGCTGTGAGACCACCGGTGAAGCCTCTTCCAAGAGCACTTGCTGCTGGGCTCAGCTTGCTGCTCTCCCCCAGCTTAGGGTCTGCTCTTAAATGAAGGTGGAGCCACAAGATGCAGCTTCTTGGTACAGATTTTGACAGATATATATATATATATATATATATATATATATATAAAAACATTGCTAGCATCTGCAGTTTAAAATGTCTCTTACCTCTTTGTAGATATCACATGCTGGGTAAAGGGTGTCTCAGCCTTTTGGGGTCACCTTGAGGAGGTCTCTGCTCAAGGGACACCCCACTCTGCTGCTGCACCGGTGGGCTCAGGGGGCTGCAGGTATTTGTAGTGCTAAGAGATGGACCTGTAGGCAAACCTCCTTTGCTGTACATGCAGGTGTGCAGCTGTAGCAGTCTTGGTTTGGTCTGTCCCAGCTCAGGCTGGGACTTCTGGCTCTGGAGTATTTAAGGTTGAGCAGAATTCCTTGTGGTTTGCACAGCGAGTCTGACTTGTCTCGTCCCAAGAGCAGAAGGAAGATGGAAGAGTCAATAACTGCAGTAGCACTGACAGATTGACTCATGCTGGGTATTGCCCTTGATTTAAATCATCTGTGTGAATTTTTAAATCATTTCCCCTTTCTTGTATCATGGAGTTCTGTTTTGCAGACTTATATTTCGGCAACATTTCATCCAAGCAACCTGTTCCTTCTAATCTGTATTGAAATTCCCTCTACTTTCTGAACCCCAGGAAATCCGTAACATCCATAACGATGAGCTGATGGGTATCCGGAGAGAGGAGGAGATGGAAATGTCTGATGAAGAAATAGAAGATCCATCAGAGATGAAAGAAACGGAAGAATCAGGTAAAATCCATTTTTGCAGCTCATAAAGTGCTTCTCTTCAGCAGTTTCTTTCAGGAGGCCCATTCTGAATGTTTTGTACCCCAAAATGGTCATGGGCAGAGCAGAATCAGTGCAGTTCCCTGGAGTTGTTTCCTCTCAGTGCCTGGGTCTGCAGCCAGAGTTTCACTGCTCCCTGCCATGGTCAGGGGAACATAAAGCAGTGTCTGAGCTGCTGTCCCTAGTGAAGTGTACTGGGATTAATGGAGCAGGATGTGGAGGAGTTTGGAAGCTTTCTCCAGAGAAAGCAAAGCCCTGCCCTATGGAAGCTGATCCAGTGACAGCAGCTCAGCAGCAGTGTTACACTACAAACCCACAACCTGCCTTCTCCTGGAGATCATAGAGTCCTAGGGTGGTTTGGGTTGGAAGGGACCTTAAAGATCATCCAGTTCCGCTCCCTGCCATGGGCAGGGACACCTTCCACTAGCCCAGGTTGTTCAAGCCCTGTCCAACCTGTCCTTGGACACTTCCACGAATGGGGCAGCCCCAGCTTCTCTGGGCAGCCTGTGCCAGGGCCTCAGCCTCCTCACAGGGAAGAATTCCTTCCCAATATCCCATCTAACCCTCTGGCAGTGGGAAGCCATTCCCCCTTGTCCTGTCACTCCAGGCCTTTGTCCAAAGTCCCTTTCCAGCTCTCTTGGAGCCCCTTTAGGCACTGGAAAGGTCTTTCAGGTCTCCCTGGAGCCTTCTTTCCTCCAGGTGAACCCCCCCAGCTCTCCCAGCCTGGCTCCAGAGCAGAGGGGCTCCAGCCCTGTGATATCCCAAACAGTGCTTGGGAGGCATTTCTTGGGGTGCTCAGCACTTGTCACCGGGAGCTGCTGAGCCTCTGCATGCGGTGTGTGAGGGGAAGAAACACTCAGGGGCTTCTTGCCCCGGGTTGTTTGACTTGTGTCGTGTTCCCAGCGCTGGTGTCGCAGGTGGAGGCGCTGAAGGAGGAGAACGACAGCCTGCGCTGGCAGCTGGACGCCTATCGCAACGAGGTGGAGCTGCTCAAGCAGGAGCAGGGCAAAGCCTCCCGGGATGAGGACACCACCAAGGAGCAGCAGATGAAGCTCCTCCAGCAGGCCCTGCAGGGCATGCAGAAGGTGGGACCGGAATTTTCCATGGCAGAGGCAAAAGGGGCTGGGATAGGAGGGGCAGAAACACACGTAAAAATACTCCGGCTTTAGTGGGATCCAAACCGGCAAATGGGAGCGACTTTGTCGTTACCAGTGTTTCCAAAAAAACCCCAAATGACCAAATATTTCAGCTGGTGGCTGTAGGAGCTAATGAGTCACATGAAAGAGATTCATAGCTCATGGATTCCTTGTGTGGTCTTTGCTTGACCCTACTGTGACTTCCAAAGTACCAAGTCTGTGCTTACCTGCCCCATAACTGAGTAAGAAAGTGGGAAATCCATCCATTGGTGATGGAATTACTGTCCCCTATTTACACACCATGCTAATAGGCAAAGGCATTTCTAAGGTACATTGTAGATTCTTCTTGGTTTGTGCTTTACCTTGTAGTAGTTCTGGATATGACCTGTCTGGTCTTCATGGAAAAGCCCTTCTTTGTTTTATAGTCTTCAAATAATAGGAGGTGGAAGGCAGGTTAAGAACTGAGTTTATGTTTTCTCTTCCAGCACCTTTTGAAAGTCCAGGAGGAATACAAAAAGAGAGAAGCAGAGTTAGAAAAAGTGAAAGAAGACAAATTAAAAGTGGAAACGTTACTAGAAAACCTGAAGGAGCAGGTATGTGTCATCCAGGGCTTCTTTGTGCAGTCCTTGGATTCCGTGGTCCATCAGGAGCGTGGTGAAGGACCTCTGTCCTTCTGTAATCTTGTAGAGGATGCCCAGCCCTGGTAGGAGCAGTTGTCCTTGGAAAGTGAGGAAAAATGAGCTGTTAAATTGGAGGATGTCTGTCAGTAATGGACCTGCTGGTGGCTTCGTGCACCTGTGAGAACAACTGTATAAATAAATAGTAACTCTCATTGTACAGTGGTATCACAGCTGGAATGGGGTTTTCTGCAATCTGAGCTTTACAAGACAAGAAAAAAGGTCTCAATTATCGGACACTGATTTTTAGATTTGTGGTTTAGGGGCGTGTTTTGATCTGCCCTCCTTAAACCACTGTGGAATTGAAAGTTTTTGTCAGTGGTGTAATATTTTTATGCTTGCTTTATTCCAAACATATACATAGTGCTGCTTCTCAGGTGTGATCCACTCTGTTTTCATTGTGGATCCCTGCATGAATCTACACTTGCTTGGTCCTCTCCTCTGTAGCACAGAGACAATTACACAAGAGACACGAGGCAGCACTTCTCCCCATGGCCCATGGAGCCAGATGCTGGGTTTTATCTCAGATTTTCCATCTTTAGCCCCATTTTTTTGTGCCATGAGCTAGGGAAGACAATGAACGTCCTTCTAGGAACTAAAAATGGCTTTGTATATCCCAGTAATGGTCAGAGCAGGAGCCTCAGAAGAGAAATAACAGATTATCATCAGTAATCTTTTCTTTCTTTGCCCATATATAGCAGAGCATGGCAGATGAAGAGGACAAGGAAGGAGAGGCAGCTGACTGTCAAGGGAATGTGAGTCCAAGAGCTTCTTTTCTCTTATTTCAGGCAGAACCTCTCACTGATGGAGTAACAACACCTTAGTGTAAAATGAGCAGTGGTTTATGGGTTGGTTTGTGGGAGGTGAGCCTGGTACAGACAGATTGGCCTCATGTCCAAGGGAGAGGTTCTTCCCCCAGAGGGTGGTTGGGCACTGACCAGGCTCCCCAGGGCAGTGGGCACAGCCCCAAGGCTGCCAGAGCTCCAGGAGTGTTTGGACAACGCTCTGAGGGACAGGGTGGGATTGTTGGGGTGTCTGTGCAGGGCCAGGGGTTGGACTGGATGATCCTGATGGGTCCCTTCCAGCTCTGGACATTCGACATTCTGTGATTCTGTACAAATCAAAGTCATCAAGTTATCCATTGCTGGCAGCTTCTGGCTGGAAGAACTGGAAGTATTTGCATCACTGGGGTGCAGAAATGGAGTTTGGTGTGCCAGATCATTTGTTGCAGTGATATTTCCACTGAGCCTTCAAAAATACCAGGTGGATCTGGTGTTGTACACCATGAAGGAGAGAAGGCTCTGAGGAGACCTCATTTCAGCCTTCCAGTGCCTGAAGAGAGCTTATAAAAAGGAGAAAAAGGGACTTTTTATATGATCAGATCGTAGCAGGACTAGGGGGAATGGCTTCCCACTGCCAGAGGGTTAGATGGGATATTGGGAAAAAATTCCTGGCTGTGAGGATGGTGAGGCCCTGGCACAGGTTGCCCAGAGAAGCTGTGGCTGCCCCTGGATCCCTGGAAGTGTCCAAGGCCAGGTTGGATGGGGCTTGGAGCAACCTGGTCTAGTGGAAGGTGTCCCTGTCCATGGCAGGGGGTGGAACTGGATGGGCTCTAAGGTCCTTTCCAATCCAAATCATTTCCATCATTCTGTGATCTCCTGGAGAAGGCAGGTTGTGGGTTTGCAGTGCAACTGCTGCTGTCCCTGGATCAGCTTCCACAGGGCAGGGCTTTGCTTTCTCCTCTGGAATGTGGAAGCTCAGGCCATTTGGGCACAGCCTCAGCCCTGTGTAGCTGAGAACTGCACTGGTGTATGAATTTGAGCAAACCCAGGGGACAATTCAGTTCTATGTTTGTCACTGGCCCCCCTCCAGCCCATCTCACTGGTGACTGGAAGCTGTTCCCAATTATAGCTGTCCACAGCTCTCAGGCCACTGGAATTCCGCATAAAACTCGGGAATAAAAGCAAGTCCTGCTTTTGGTGCACCCACCATCTTTGCATCGCTGTCAGACTTGTGTTTATTTCAGAGATAATAAATTATGCCAAATTCTCTTTTAGTTCAGTACCACAAACTCAAGTCAGGGACAGTCTGATCCTGAACCCTGGGCGGCCCCTGGGCACTCGGTCCATCACATTTGCCTCAGTTTGGGCATTTGAAAATTAGAGCTCTTCAGCTGAATTAGCCATGGCAAGGCTTCTTGCTCTGGTTTGTATTTTGTAATTTAAAACACGGCCCTTCTGGAGCAGACATCGTGTCACAGAGCAGGGCTGGTGCACTGAGTGTGGTGGCATCTGGCAGAACTCTATGGGCTTTTCATCTCACTTGGTAAATCACACACAGGACCACGGACACGGCTGTGCTTTGTTGGAAGCATTTTGGAACATAACCAGTAGATACACCAGTGATGGGTGCAGTGACTCAGAGAAACAGGATAACCTGTTTCAGGCTCTGAGCCTGCCCCTGCCTCTGCCTGGTGTGCCGGGGTGGCTGCTCTTGCCTGCAACGGGCCCTGTGGTTTTGTTTTGCAGGAGAGCAGCACATCCAGAGTTTGTGCCTGCAGCCAGGAGAAGGAATGTCCCGTGGAAAAGACGTTGAGCAACAGTCCTGTGAAATCTGAACGAGAAGTTCTCCTGGTTGGTGAGTTCTGAGGGGCTTGATGGTGATGCTGAGCTGGGGGGGGACTTGCTTCAAGGTGGCCTCGCACTCCCTCTGGCCTCCTCTGGTTCCTTTGGTTATCCCAGGGGAGGTGGGAGTCCTGGAACCAAGGAAAACCTCGAGCTTTGGTGGGGTCAGGGTGTCACTTTGTGACTCGGGGCTGGTGTTCCCAGCTGGTTCTTGTCTCATGACAATGACATTTGTGGTGTTCGTTTCCCCAGGAATAATTTCCACGTTTCTCCACGTGCATCCCTTTGGAGCCAGCATTGAGTACATCTGCTCCTACCTGCAGCGCCTGGACAGCAAGGTGGGTGTGGGGGCTGGATGGGGAGGACTGCAGGAATCTGTTCCCTGCAGGAATCTGCTGGAAGGGTTGAACTTCCTTGGAATAACACAATGGTTTGGGCAGGAAGGGATCTTAAAGCCCATGTCATTCCACCCCCCTGCCATGGGCAAGGACACCCTCTACTAGACCAGGTTGCCCAAGGCAGCTCAGCTTTGGGGTTCTGCACAAACCCATGTCCCCAAGAGCAACATCCACATGGTTTTTAAATCCCTCCAGGGATGGGGACTACACCACTGCCTTGGGCAGGGAAAAATCTCCATAGCACACGTGTTTTTGTTTATTCTGTTGAAGTTTGCTGCCTTTGGGCAGTTTCCCTTTATTTTCCTTATCCTTATGACCTCCAAAGAGAGGAGCAAACAACCACCTTGTGCATTGAACATCTCACACCCTCTGCTGTGGCCCTGGTTTTGTGTGTTCTCTCTAAACTGAGCAGTCAGTCTGTCTCTGAGCGAAGTTCTTGGGTTTTTTTGATCCTATCACCCTTCCCCGAGCCTGTTCTGTCTCTGATCCTGTTGGTGGGGTCCTTTCTAGGGGGTCTGTGGGAAGACAGGGGTCGATCCCTGGTTGTGGGGTGACTGAGGGCAGTAACCAGCCATGCTCATGCTTTTCCCGTGGCACAGTATGGAGCTGCTGTGTCCTGCAGAATTCCTGTGTCCTGCTGGCTTCACACTCCTTTTTTGGAGTAAATGGGAGCAACTGTGCAAAGACTTTTGGATGTTCAAGGGAATTTCATCTCGCTCCTCTACTGTCCTTCAGTTGTCTTCCCAGGAACAGGAGACTCACCAGCAAGGGAATCATCTCTTGGGATTGGAACTTTTGCTTTGTTTATAACTCAGTGTTTAATTTACCCTGTTCTAAGAAAACACAACTCCCTGGCCTGACTCACTCCAGCCCTACAAAGACAGAGTTAATAATTTATCTCCTCGTTCTAGCTTGGAATTTGTCTGTGGGGCCAACAGCTTCCTTTATTTTGGTTTGGAGCTCTTATAAAAATGCCATCATAGCATTCAGCTGCCTTCTGGCACTTCCTCTTTGGAATCCACAGAGCAGAGCAGGGCTGCTGGAAGTTTCTGCTGCCAGCTTGGGAGAAAAGGCCTGTGCAGAGCCCACCCTTGAACCTCTGCTGTGGCATCAGTCTCCTCTTGCTCCCTGACACTCAGGGCTCTTGTGCCTGCTTCCTTGGAAGATGTTCCTGCTTGTCCTTCGGGTTCCTCATGAGCTCTTGTGTCTCCCTCTTCACTCCTGCAGGAGCTCAAATTAGTTTGGGTGTTATTCTTAATTTCTAGCAGATCTTTGGGCCTGAGGTGAGGCAGGAGGAGAGGGAGTACCTGAAAGTACAACCTGGTTTCTTGAAGCTGCCAGCAGGAAAGGACAAGGAATATCTTTCCCCCTCTTCCCTGCCCATCAGTCTCACCAAGAAGGTCAGCAGAGAGCACAGAAATTAGGATCAAAGGTAGTTTGGAGCCATGAAACAGCCCTTCAGAAGCTGTCTGTAGCCCTGAATGGGGCTTGGCAAAGCCTTGGGCTGACAAACTGCCCAAATCACCTGCTCAGGTTCCTTCTCTGCACCGGTGCAACCCCACTGGCTCTGTTGGAGCAGCTCCTGTGCCATCAGATATGTGGGACTTAAAATAAGGTAAAAGTGCTCCGTGTTCAGTGACTTAAATACCTGGGAGGTTTTAATCCATCATCCACAGGGGAAAAAAATCCAGACAGTCCCTTTACCCTGACTTCCAGTGTTCATCCCTGCAACCATCTCACCCCAAAGCGGGACAGCAGCACAACTCACCGTGTCCCAGCATTGTCCCCACGAGTCCAGGGAAAGCCCAGATGAACTTCAGCAATTAAACTGTTTGAGTTTGAGTATCTCCAGTCATCACAGGGCTTCCATCTCCATTTTCAGTCACGTTTTCCCTGTGTTCCTACAGATCTGCACGGCGGAAGTGGAAGTTCTCATGATGCGACTCCAGAACACGTTCCGGCAGGAGCTGAGCGGGGTTGGGGCCAGCCTGGAGAAGAGGTGGAAGTTTTGTGGCTTTGATGGGTTGAAAATGACTTGAGCTTTTGACTTAATGCTGAAAACAGCAGGATATGGACACCGAGAAAACCTGGGATGCTGTTCCCCCTGTTCCCGATGATTCCCTCGCACGCTCCACGGCCTCGGGGTACAAATGTGTAAGTGAAACAAAGTCTGGAGCCACCAGTGGAAGAACCCTCAAGTTCTGCAGCTTCTTTGATCAGTTATTTGTTAATGGGCAAGTGCTGTTCAATATATTTGGGGGAAAAAAAGCTCCTGCCTGACCCTTTGAAGCACAGCGTGTCGACTCTGTTCTGCCAATGTTGTATGTGTTTGTGTGCCCAAATTCTTCCCCCTCAAGCTTCCTACCAGCAGGAACAGCCATAGACTGTCCTAAAGCAACAACAAAGAGGCATTTTCTGGTTTCTAGATCACCAAAAGGGGAAAAAAAAAGGCATTTTTTAGACATTTCTATGAATAAAACCCGAGGTATGTTTAGATAGAAGATTCAGATGGCCCATGAGCCAAGGAATTGGTTCTTTTTTGTGCTGTTTTCCCTGTTAGCAGTTGAGGTGGGGACAGAGCCTCTGGGAGCCAAGGGGGGATTCTGGCAGTGCCACTCGTGCTCTGGGTCAGTCTGTAACAAATTTCTTACATGGGAAGGGTGTTTTATTTTCTACGGATGTGGGTGGAGCAAAGAAGCTACATCAGCCTGGGTTTTGGTGATTTTTACCACACAATTCCTCCACCTGCTTTGCTTTGGAGACTGAGCTACAACCAGCACAGACTTCTCTGCTCCTGAACCTTCCCAACACTGTTCCTCATGCTCCCAGTGCCTTCCAGGCTCCTCCCCAGCCCTCTGCAGACGTTGGTGAAGTGCAGGGTAACAGCCTGCCCAGATATCCCTGTGGATTTTCCTGCCCTCCCGCAGATCCTCGCTCCTGCCCAGCCTGCTGTGACCTGCAGAGCTTACAGCCATTCCTTGAAGTATTCCCGTTCTGCAGGGCATCCTGACGTGTTCCTGTGATGGCAAGTGTCACAGTTTTCCAGCTGCACACTTCCAGCTCCTCCTCTGTTCCCCACACCGTGGCCATTGGGGTAGGTGCCCTTCAGTTGGGCTGTTGATCCCACCACGTTTTCGGGGGAGAAGCCCCAGTTCCTATGTGCCTGTTCTTGGGCGCTTCCCTGGTTTCTGACCCATCCACAATCCTTGTGTCTTTGCTGCCAGGGGTTCTCCACCCCCTGTCCCCTGCCCTGGCTGATGTGCTGCCCACATGAGCACAGGGACACTTCAGGTGTCTCCAGCACGGAGCAAACACCTGGTGTTGAAACCAACCCCTCACCAAAAACCCCAAAATCTGCTGCTGATGTTGGGCTCGGAGTCAGGTATTGACCTGCTGGCCCTGCCTGTTCCTCCCCTCATCATTCCCTGCAGCTGGAAGGACAGAGGAGGGCAATACCTGTGCTCCTGATCCCTTAGCCCTGAAGTCTCTCTGGATCCCTGAGACTTCTTCCTGCAACTTCACCCTCTAACCCAGTTGAACCATCATCCTTGTCATTGCTTCCACTGGCAGAGCCTGGTACCAGTTCTCCTGAGGCACTGGGGGAGCTGGGATGGTCCCGGAAGAGACACATCTGTTGTGCCAGGTGGGAACCTGTCACTACGTCCCCCTGTCCCTTGGGGTCAGCCAGGTGGAGAGAGGACAGGGTGCTGTGTGCTCAGTGAGACTGTCCCTGGGAAAATCAGGGAAGAAACTCCAGAACCAGGACTGTTTCAGAGCCCCAAGTGGCTGGAGCACACCGGAGCTGGGGCAGACATGGGATCAGGGGGATGAGTGGGCCCGGGGACTGGATCTCACCCAGGGTGGGAGCTCAGGCAGCACAAGGACTTGCTGGGTCCCAGCCTCTGTCAGCTGCAGGGTGGGAGCTGGGATGGGGATGGGCCACCCTGGGAAGCCAAAGCCCTTCCTGTGGGGCTGGGGGGACTGGGGCTGTCAGGGGGTTGTTCCTGGGGGCAGCAGGAAGGGGCAGAGCCAGGACCTACAGAGCAATGGCTGGTGCTGTGGAAGCGAGTCAGGGCCAGAGCAGTGCAGGGTCCTGCTGCCTCCCCTCTCCCACCTTTCCCTGCCAGGGCCCTTTCAGAGGGACTGAGGTTTCCCCCAGGAGAAATCCACCCTGCAGATGAGCTCCCTGGCCAGCAGGGAGGCAGGTGAGGTGCCACTGCAGGTGCCAAACACTCTCTGTCTCCAGGGAGAGCTCGGAGTGGTCACCCCTGGACCGTGGGCAGCAGTGAGAGCCCTGCCCGCAGCCTGCTTGGGTGCAGGGATGGGTGACAGGGACCTTCCCATTGGGACCAGGCTGCTCCCAGGTGGGCTGTTGCTCTCTCTGCTCCTGACACCCAGCACTTGCCACACAAGGAGCAGATGAACCCTTTAAGAGAATGTTCTGGATAGTTGTGTCCCTGCGGATGAATGCTGTATTTTTAAGGAATAAACATTTTTTTAATGGGCAAATCTTGGCCCCGCTGCTTCCCTTGTTTTGTCTAGTGTTTGTTGCCTGCCAGGGAAGAGGAGGGGCTCCATCCCAGGTCCTCTGCCATGCTCCATCCCAAGTCTTCCACCACCATGGGGCTTCACCTTCCTTGTGAGCGTTGAGAGCTCCCTGCTTCCTCTGCAGCCTCTCTGATGATGTCTTCCCCGGGCAGTGAATTTGGTGTTCATGACCTCTTTCCTCCCTCAGAGCAGGTGGAGTTTGCAGATTGTGGCAGTGTTGGGGTGGATGTGGCTCAGCAGCACCAGTTTATACTGGTGACAAGGACGGGCAGTGAGGTGATGGCAGAGAAAACAGAACTGGGCAGCCCCCCCGGGGTGCAGCCGCCACTGGAGGGGGTTCTGTGCCGTGGCTTCATTTGGGAGGAAGCTACGAGGGGGGCTGTGGCCTCAAAATGGAGCTGCTGTGGGGAAGGGAGCTGGTGGTGGCTGGTGGCTGCTGGATCGGGAGAACCAGAGATCCCTCGGGCAGCAGGAAGGGCAGAGCAGGGGCCCAAACAAACAGGAGGTGTCAAGGGTGAAAGGGAGCCTGTGGATAACCCAGCTCCTCCTGGGGAAGGATGCTCTGGAGATGCAGAGCTGGCACGTGTTGCCCAGAGAAGCTGTGGCTGCCCCATCCCTGGAAGTGTACTAGGCCAGGTTGGACGGGGCTTGGAGCGACCTGGGACAGTGGAAGGTGTCCCTGCCCATGGCAGGGGGTGGGATGAGATGAGCTTTAAGGTCCCTTCCAACCCAAGCCACTCCATGATCATCACCACGTCATGGCTGTGGTCCCCAGGGAGCTCGTGGGTGTGTTAGCAGGTGAGGAGGTGCCAATTTTGGGTGTTAACATGTGTTTTGTGGGTTGCTGTAGGTTTGTGAGGCTCTCCAGGGTCTGTAACCCCCCAGGCACAACCTGTGAGCTGTAGATCCATCCTGTCAGGCCTGTGAGCTCCTCGGTGCCAGAGCTCTGCAGGGACTCTGCAGTCCCCCAGGCCCGGGGTGGGTGTGGAGGGCATCCCTGGGCCCTGCCTGTGCCAGGCTCTGCTGGAGACACGATCACCGGGAAGATCCCACGATGGAGCAGTGGGAAGGTCTGCACGGAGAGCTGAGGTGGAAACCATCTGCTTGGCCCACACTGACCAGTCCAGGCAGCACATTCCCAGTTCAGGTTCCACCTGCTGGAACAGCCAGCGCTCCGGTGGGTGTCCTGGTGCAAATGGATGGGAAAACTCGGGATGGAAGGGATTGAGCAATGGTCGGTCCCTGCCAAGGCACAGTGTCCGGCGTGGGAAGCGCGGCTCCTTCCATCTAACCCTGCCCTCTCTCCACACGCTGCTTCTGGATCTCGTTTCTTTTGGCAGAAAATTCACATTCTCATCCGCCCTCCCCTCCTCTCGGCCGCGGCGGCTCCTCTCCAGCACTTCCCCGCTTCTCCTCTTGCTTGTGGACTGGGAAGGGACCCCAGAGCCACGGTGGAGACGCTGCTGTGAAAGGAAGGAAGAGCTCCCAGAGCTGCTGGTCCTGCTGTGAGAGGACACAGGGAAGGTAAATGTGGGCCCTTTGTTCCAGCTGGGAAGAGAGAAACTTTGCTGCTGAAACTGGCAGAGCAGCCACAATTCCTTGGGAGTGGAAGGGGCAGCTTGACTGAGCTTTTCCCCATGAGATTCCATAAGGAAGCCCTACTGCTCTTTTTGAGTTAGTAAGATTCCTGCTCCGGCATCCCCCTGTGAAGGAGGAGTTGTGGGGCTCTGGCTTTGCCCCTGCTGTGAGCAGCATTTCCCTTCCTGCGGGGAGCCCTGGTGCCTGCCCAGGCTGAGGGAGCCCTCCTGTCCCACAGGGCTCTGCAGGGATCACCCACCCCTGTCCCCAACAGGGACACCCACGGAACTGCTGCTCTGCCGGGCTGGGGGTGCTTGTCCCCATTTCACCTGTTCCCAGGGCATAAACCCACAGCTGGGGCAAGAAGCAGGGGCAGGTGTTTGGGGTTAACTCCTGAAGGATGAGTTTTGGGAGCACCAGCGGTGGGGGCACATCACTGGGCTCTTCTCATGGCGCCTGCGGTCGGGCAGATAAGCAGCAGCTTGTCCCGACTTCTCCTTCCTGCCTTCTCCTTCCTGCCTTCCCTCTGCTGCTCCCTCTCCCAACCGGGATTCCTTCTCCTCCTCACCCCGCGGCAGCCGCATCCTCCGGGACTCTGCTCGGGCAGGGGCTGTGCCCGTGGGCTCTGCCGGAGTGCGGAACTTCACCTGCGCGAAGGTAATTCCCTTCGGGGGTGTCTGTCCGGGGATTTGTCCGTCCGTCCAGCTGCAGTGGAGCTGCTCTGTCCTGCCAGGAGCTCCCGACTGGCAGCGCTGCTGCTCCTCCTTCGCTCCAGGTGTGGCAGAGGTGCAGGAGCTGCCCCTGGCACACGGAGATGCTCTCAGCTCTCACAGACAAGGTGTCACCTGTGCTCCTCCCCTCCCCAGCCGGGCTGTCCCGGGGGAGCAGGATGGGAGTTAAAAAAAAACCCCGTATTGCATTTATTTTACTCTGCCAGAGGGCAGGGTTAGATGGGATATTGGGAAGGAATTCTCCCCTGTGAGGGTGGGGAGGCCCTGGCACAGGTTGGGCAGAGAAGCTGTGGCTGCCCCATCCCTGGAAGTGTCCAAGGCCAGGTTGGACGGGGCTTGGAGCAACCTGGGCTAGTGGAAGGTGTCCCTGCCCACGGCCGGGGGTGGGACTGGATGGGCTTTAAGGTCTCTTCCAACCCAAACCAACTTGGGATGCTGTGATGTAGCTGAATTCCCTTTTAGTTTGCCCTTCTGACGAACTCCAAACAACTGTTTTATATTTATTTCCTTCTTAAATTTATGTAACTTTCTAAATACCTCAAGGAATTGAAGTTGAAAACCCGGCCAAAAGGAACCAGCCCCAGGGGCTGGGGGTGGGCAGCGCTGTGCTGGGGCTGACACGGGAGCCCTGTCCCATTCCCGGGTGTCTCACCCTCATCCCTGGAGATTTCCAGGCAGGTATTTTTCATTCCTGCCTCAAGCCCTCTTTGGGGAGGCTCCATTCACAGCCCGTACTCCGCCCTCGGGCCTGTTTTCCGTCTGCTGCTGTCGTTGCTCTTTGGACCGTGCCGGGCTTTGCCGGGTGCCGGGGCTGTGGCACAGGAGGCACCGGGCTGGAGGCACCCAGGTCAGTGTGGGGTGAGGAGCCACGTCCCTGTATGGGCTCTCCTGGAGGCTGCACACAACAGGGAGGGCTCCCCAAAGGTGGGGGAGAGGGGCTGGGGTGTTGGTGCGGGGCCGTGGGCTGTGGTCCAGCCTGTGCTGGGGGCAAAGGGAGATCTGGTGACGTGCAGTTGTGATTTACAAGAGGTGAATCATAGGATCATGGAATTGTTTGGCTTGGGAGGGACCTCAAAGCTCATCTCGTTCTATGCAGGCACACCTTCCACTGTCCCAGGTTGCTCCAAGCCCTCTCCAACCTGGCCTTAGACACTTCCAGGGATGGGGCAGCCACAGTTTGTGCCTCATATATCTTTCAGGGAAGAATTTCTCCCTAATATCCAGTCTAAATCTCTTCCATTGATGCCTCCAAGGCCCTGGCTGGGAAAGTCGAAGTGGGATGGTGTGTCCAGGGCACCTGCAGCCCCTGGAGAGGTGAGGGAGGGACAAGTGTCTCCTGCAGAGACTCCCTGGGCTGTTTCCAGCAACTTCTCTCCAAAAGCTGGCATCCCTGACTCTTTTATTTCACATATGTGTGTTTTCCAGAGGACCTTTGTCTCGGCTGCTGTGCCAGGCCCCTGGGATGCAGCCCGTGGCCCTGCAGAGCCTGTCGGAGCTGGAGAGGGCCAGTCTGCAGGAGCTCGCGCTGTACCGGCTGCAGGAGAAGCTGCTCGTGGGGGATCTCAGCCTGGACAGAGGTACAGGGTGGGAGAGAGTGGAGAGGGTGGAAACTAAGGCCCAAGGAGGGCTGAGGCTGAGCCATTAGTGGTGCACGTCCCCACTCCAGGCTGCGGGATGATGGTTATGGAAAGACATTTGCGACACATTTTGGTCCTTTCTGTTTTTCATTCCTGCTTTGGTCTGAGCCCCAGGGGCTCGGTCAGCCTTTGGAAGGGGTTTGCGTGTCCACAGGAGTGTGAGAATGTGACCCTGCCCGTGTCTGCCTCCAATCTCCCCCTAACCCAAACCAGATGTGATGGCTTGGCGAGGTCCCCGCTGGGATTGCCTGAGTGCCGCGGGGTTGGGACAGGCTTTGCTGTTTGGATCCACATCCAGCACAAATTCCCGGTGCTGGGAAGGGGCTTATGTGAGACTGGAAGACGCGCTGGGAGATTAATGGATGGATAAATTTAGGAGCTCCACAGGGACCGAGCACAGAGGCCCTGTCAGGGTTCCCAGGGCTGCCTGTGTCCCCCGACATCCTCACAGCAAACCCAGTGAGCTGGGCTTCCACTGACTCCTTCCCACACTTACTTGTTACCCCCTTGATGTGCCTCCTCTGCCCTGGGCCATATTTTGGCATCCCAGCAGGGCAGGGGGTGCCTCCAGCTCACCCCCTCTGGGGTCATGGGGTACCAGCAGAGGGAGCTCAGAGTTTCCAGTCCCCCCATCACTTCAGCAGGGCTGTCACCAGTACCAGGGCAGCTGGGGCTGGGACCTCCCAAGGATGGAGTCCCTGCAGTCTCTGGGACCTTTCCCAGGGATGGAGCATTTCCCAATGCCCAGCCTCATCCTGGGCAGCAAGTGACACCCGAGTTTGGTTTCCTGTCTTAATTACTACTGGTAAGGTTTCACGCCATGAAACGAAACTTCATTCATGAAATGGCTTCAAGAAGAGTCCAACAAAGCTCCCCTCTCCCTCCCAGAGCTCCAGTTGCTCCAGGGCTGCAGCAACATTCCCTGGGGGACTTCGACCACAAACATCCTGGTTCTTTTTTTATTTCATTTTATTTTGGGCTGTTGTGATCCCATTTGCAGTGACACCCTGCAGCAGTGGCTTCTCTAGGGACTAGTGCAGTGCCAAACCCCTGCCCCCCCCCAACCCCAGTATTTCCTTCCTGGCTGGTTAATGTGCTGCTGGATAATTTTTTTGGCTTCTACACTCATGTTCCTCATTCCAGCTGTCACAACTTTCCTCTAAATCTTACAAAATAACCCAAACAACTAGATATAAGCTGTTCCTATGAAGAGGAATGAGGAGCACGAGCCAGATTAGAGTGATGGTAGATGAGGGGAAGGCTGTGGGTGTGTCTACCTGGACTTCAGCAAAGCCTTTGACACTGTCCCCCATGGCACACCCCTGAAAAAGCTGCAGCCCATGGCTTGGACAGGGGCACTCTGTGCTGGGTTAGGAACTGGCTGGAGGGCTGGGCCTAGAGGGTGGTGGTGAATGGTGCTGCATCCAGTGGGGATCCGGTCACTAGTGATGTCCCCCAGTGTTGGGCCCAGTTCTGTTCAATATCTTTATTGATGATTTAGGTGAGGGGATTGAGTCCATCATCAGCAAATTTGCAGGTGACACCAAGCTGGGGGGGAGTGTTGATCTGCTGGAAGGCAGGAGGGCTCTGCAGAGGGACCTGGACAAGCTGGATCCATGGGCTGATTCCAAGGGGATGAGGTTCAACCAGGCCAAGTGCCGGGTCCTGCACTTTGGCCACAACAACCCCCGGCAGCTCCAGGCTGGGGACAGAGGGGCTGGAGAGCAGCCAGGCAGGAAGGGAGCTGGGAGTGGGGATGGACAGGAGGCTGAACAGGAGCCAGAGTGTGGCCAGGTGGCCAAGAGGGCCAATGGATCCTGGCCTGGCTCAGGAAGAGTGTGGCAGCAGGAGCAGGGAAGTGATTCTTCCCCTGGACTCAGCGCTGGTGAGGCCACCCCTGGAGTGCTGTGTCCAGCTCTGGGCCCTCAGCTCAGGAAGGACATGGAGGGGCTGGAGCAGGTCCAGAGGAGAGCAATGAGGCTGGGGAAGGGACTTGAGCACAAGTCCTCTGAGGAGAGGCTGAGGGAGCTGGGGCTGTTCAGCCTGGAGAAGAGGAGGCTCAGGGGAGACCTCCTCACTCTCTACAACTCCCTGACAGGAGGGGGGAGCCAGGGGGAGGTTGGTCTCTTTTCCCAGGCAACTCTCAGCAAGACAAGAGGGCTCCCCCTCTGCCAGGGGAGGTTTAGGTTGGATATTAGGAAGAAATTCTTTCCAGAGAGGGTGCTCAGCCATTGGAAGGGGCTGCCCAGGGAAGTGGTGGATTCTCCGTCCCTGGAGGTGTTTAAGGTGAGACTGGATGTGGCATCAGTGCCATGGGCTGGGAACCACGGTGGTGTTGGATCAAGGGTTGGACTTGATGATCTTGGAGGTCCCTTCCAACCCAGCTGATTCTATGTGTTTTCAAAGGATTTAAGGTGGGCAGTGACTGAGTTGTCAGTTCATTGCTGCTGGATGTGCAACATGGGAGTCCTCCAGACCAGGATGGGATAGGTGATGGTGTTTTGTCCAACTTTATATTTCTGTGCCCTCTAAAACATTCCCAAAAGCCTTTCTGGGCCGCATTCCTCGTGTAGTGCCATGGGGTCCTGGTACCTGAGTGCCAGTCCCTCCATCCCTTCACCTGGGGAGGATGATGCCCATCCCCAGGACTGTTCCCCAGGCCTCCCATGGGACTCACGGATCCCTCAGGGCTGTGGCCATCACCACAACATCCCCACATCCAGAGGCTCCAGAGAGACAGGTGTCTGTGAGGAGAGCCCATGCTGAACCAGCCCCGTGATCCTGGTGCTGAACCTTCACCTTCTCTTCTCCTCCTAGATGGACCCAAAGGCATTAAATCCATCCGGCAGAAGCTGGAGAGCTTCTCAAAGGAGAGGAAAGGTGAGCAGCCTCCCCTTTCCCTGGGGTTTGCTCCCTGCTCTCAAGTGGGATTGGTGATTCTTGGTGGGGTGAGTTGGGAGGTGCCCGAATCCAGCAGGTTGCTTCATCCCAGGTTGTTCTGCTGGTTTTGGAGTGAGGTGGAACAGCACGAGCGGGATGGAGCCTGGAAGGATGGAATATGTGTGCACATAAACATGCATTTTCAAGCTGTTCATAAATGTTTCATATAAATGTTTCTATCTGCCCATTTTGCCCCAGTCTTGCTGCTTCCAGTTCCATTTTATCATCCCTTTAAGGATTTCAGTAACAACCCTGGGGAACCCAGAATCCCAGAGCAGAGCCAGGTGGGAATGAGCTTCCCCACACCAGTACAAAGCTAACTCAAGGAAACTATTGAAATTATTGTCTCATATTTTACTAAATGGATTTGTGGCTTGTGCTCCCAGGGTAGTGCAGAGTCTGGGGGTGAGAAGAGCTCTCCTTGTCAGAGGGATGGAGAGGGAGAGTTATTTGGGAAGAATACCATTAATACCAAGGCTGTTCTATGTCAGCGGATGTAGCTGAGACAAACCCTGTAGAAAACTGGAAGGTTAGAATTTGGGAAGAATCTTTTGGTTTGTATATTTCTGGTGGTTTATGAAGTCTTTGCTTCATAGGTACCATGGCATCTTCATGGGGTTGGAACCAGTAACAGGAAAGAAAGCCCAGGAAAAACTGGGACAGGCTCCAACAGGCTCACTGATGGAGACCAGTTTTCCTTCCCAGCTCCCCCGTGTCTCTTTCCTCTTCCTCCAGCATCCCATTTCCCACACCATGCCCTCCCTGCTCAGATCTCTGGCACTCAGGGTCCCACCACACAGTGGTGGTGCTTTCCAGGGGCACCAGCCTCCTCCAGGTTTCCCTGGGCCCTTGGGAATGCTCTTCCCACCTGCTCCTGGGGGCGGGAAACCTGGGCTGAGTGCAGCTCCCTCACTAAGTGATGCTTTTCCCTTTCTCCCGTGTTGTTCCCCAGACTGCTCACCTCACACCTTCGGGATCCCGCTCTCCCAGGTCATTGCCAACGACCGCGCCCACCGGCAGCTCCAGGAAGCCGTGGGGAAGAGTCGCCGGCTCTGCCTGGAGGTGGAGGCCACGGTGACCAGGTTTCGGGCTCAGAGGCAGAAGAAATCTGGGATGGGCCCCAGCTGTGTCCGAGCACCTGACGGGGGCTTCCCAGAGGAGCCGCTTTCCCCAACTCTTCCGGACAAGAGCTTGTGGAGCCAGCGGAGGGTACGGTCCCAAAATGGGCTGTGATGGTGCTGTAGGATGGGGGGGGTCTGAATTCAGCAAGAAACAGGGTTTTCCTGGGTCTTTTCTTAACAAATGTGAGTCGGTCGTGCTCCATGCGGGGCTGGTCCCAGGTTGCCCTCAGGGAAATGAGGATTGGCCCTGTTGCCCCTGGAGAGGGACTGTGAGAGGTGGGAGGATCTTCACCAGCTGAGCTCTTACTGAGCCAGGGTTACCAGGAGGACATTTAAGGGTCCAGAGGGTTGGTTTATGTGAGATATGGAGAAGAAATTCTCCCCTGTGAGGGTGGGGAGGCCCTGGCATAGGTTGTTCAGAGAAGCTGTGGCTGCCCCATCCCTGGAAGTGTCCAAGGCCAGGTTGGATGGGGCTTGGAGCAACCTGGGCTAGTGGAAGGTGTCCCTGCCAATGGCAGGGGGTGGAATGGGATGCTGCCTTTTCCCACAGACCTCTGAGGTGTCAGTGAGCACTGGGATCTGTGGGGTCATTCCTGCCACCCCTCTGCTCCATCCCAGGGGGCCATGTCAGTGGATTCCATCACCGACCTGAGTGACAACGCGTCCAAGCTGCTGGAGGCACTGCAGCTCTCACACCCCCACGAGCTGGACCCACGGAGAGTCCTGGGCAAGAAGAAGATGCTGAGCCTCAACCCCATCACCTGGCAGGTCCCACGGATCGTGGACAGGTGCTGCACACACATTGAGATGCACGGTAAGGGCGTGGGTGCCTCCAGCAGGTCCCGTGGGAGGCGGGAAAAACCCACTGTGTGTGGTGGGCTGGGACATTCCAGCCTGGCCATTCCCCAGAGCGGGAGGAGGCTGCTGGTTTAGTGGGCATGGATTCATTTGAAGGTTGGATCTGATGATCTTGGAGGTCTTTTCCAACCTTAAATGATTCCACAATTCCGGGGGCAGGCTGTGCTCCCAAAGAGCCACCTGTGGAGAGTCCTCTGGGCTGGAAGCTGCAGCAGAAGGGAATGTCACTGTGTGTATCAGTGACCATGTCTGGTGCCTTAACTCCCACTGCACATCCAGGCCCTCCCTTAGAGTGACTGTGGGGATGAGATCTCCTCCCTTGCCTACAGACAGTCCCAGAAAAATCTCACAGCTCCACAACCTTTCCTTTTCCCCACCCTGCCTGGAGAGGGAAGGGTGCACATGAGAACCCCTGCCATGGTGCTGAGGTGCTCCCAGGACCAGCTGGGGTGGCAGGGATCTGTAGGGATGCACAGCACTAACCTGCCTGTCTCCTAGGTCTCCAAACAGTGGGAATCTTCCGCGTTGGGAGCTCCAAGAAAAGAGTTCAGCAGGTAAAGGGAGACTTTCACTGCGTCCTCGGGGCCGTGCCACATCCAAGGGTCAGAAGCTTGCATGGATGGGGATGAATAGAACAGGCAGTGGTGTGGAGAGGTCTAAAACATCCCAGGCACATGCTGGATCAAAGGCAGCCTGGATCCTGCTGCTGGGTCCTTCTCCCAGCCAGGAGACCAGTCCAGCTCCTTCCCTCCAGCCTGCCTTTGGCAGATGAGCCTCCATCCCCTGGTTGGCACTTCAGAGCCAAGGGTTCCATCTGGTCCCATGACCCATCCAAAGGGCAGCAGAAGGCTGCTGGGCTCTGACACGCCTTTTTGGGGTGCCCTGCTTTGGGGGGACATTGGGAGTAGCCGACCCTCATATCCTGCCATGGCAGTAGCCCTCCTGACAGGATGACTCCTCCGAAGAGTAAGAACTGACCGTTGCATTATTCTTTTCATTTCTCCCATCTCTAAGCTGAGGGAGGAGTTTGACCAAGGGCTGGATGTTTTTTTGGATGAGCATCAAAGTGTTCATGATGTGGCTGCTCTGCTCAAAGAGTTTCTTCGGGATATGCCGGATTCCCTGATTCCCAGAGAGCTCTATGGAGCCTTCCTCAGCACAGCCAGTGAGTACCTGCGGAGCAGAGACTGGACCGAGTCATGGAATGGGTTGGGTTGGAAGGGACCTTAAAGCCCATCTCATTCCAGCCCCCTGCCATGGGCAGGGACACTTTCCACTATCCCAGGTTGCTCCAAGCCCCATCCAACCTGGCCTTGGACACTTCCAGGGATGGATCCTTCCTCACCACCCTCCTTTTCCAAAACCACAGGACAGTGGTGGGATGGGTGATGTGCTGCCTGGCACTGCCATGGGCAGTTACTCTCATCTGTGGGTTTGGGGGATTTTAAAAAAAATTATAATAATCCCTCTGGACCAGGACAGTCTTTGACTGTGGGGCTGTGCTATACACACCACCATCACATCACAGCCCTTGCTGGGGTCTCTCATCCCACGGGATGAAGGATGGGACACCAGCCCGGCTTCCTCCCGAGCTCTTTCCCGTGGGTGTAGAGGAGGGCTGGAAGTGCCTGGTGGGCTGGAATCCTCACTAACAGCTGCTCTCTGCCCAGCCATGGAGGGGCCAGCACAGCTGGATGCCCTCCAGCTGCTGCTCTTCCTGCTGCCCCCCTGCCACAGCGACACCCTGCACCGGCTCCTGCGCTTCCTCGGAGAGGTGGCCCGGCACGCCGAGCGCTCCTGGGATGCTGATGGCCGGGAGGTGAGGCTGATCCAAAGGGAATCACTGCACAGGGAAGGGGGGCTCAGGCTGCGGTGGTTAGAACCGAGCAGAGCTGCTGCAGGCCTGGGTGAACCCTCTGGAAAAACCAAATCTATCACAGAATCATTTAGGCTGGAAAAGCCCTCCAGGATCACCGAATCCAACCTGTGGCTGATCCCCACCTTGTCACCCAGACCAGAGCACTGAGGGCCACATCCAGGTGTTCCTCCAGTCCACCTGCAGGGATGGGCACTCCACCACCTCCCTAGGTAGCCCCTTCCAATGCCTGACAACCCCTTCCATGAAGAAATTCCTCCTGATGTCCAGCCTGAACTTCCCCTGGCACAGCTTGGGGCTATGTCCTCTTGTCCTGTCAAGACAGGATGAATCCCATGTCCACAACAGGCCTGTGTGGCTCAGGCTGGCTCAGGGATATTCAGGGTGCCAAAGACCCCAGAGAGACCTGGCTGTGTGTCCATAGGCAGCACAAGGGGCGTTTTTTGTGGACTAATTCTGGTTTCCCACCTCCCAGTTCCATGAAGTCACTTGTGTGACTGTAGGTTGAGGTTGATTTTGATTTCTCTGGACAGCTCTGAGTCTCTCCATGATTCAGGTGCTGGTTTTGTCCCCTAATGGGAGATGATATGGAAATATTGATCCTTGGTAGGGGCTGGGAACGTGAGACGTGGGAATGGAGGCCCTGATGCAAGGAGGGGATGAGTGTGTGCTTCAGCACCTCACACCCTTGGTGCTGGTCCTGACACCAGCTCAGAGAGGACCAAACTGGACCCAGACCATCACCCCAGCCCCACCCACCAGCTCATGTTCCTGCCCTGGGGTGGGTGACGATATCCTGGGACATCCCATGCTGGTACTTCCATAATCCTCAGTTTCCCTTTGTGCTTCCTTGCTAGGTTCCCGGGAATAAAATGACAGTTCCAAACCTGGCCACAGTCTTTGGTCCCAACATCCTGCAGAAGGAGAAGCCTGGAGAGAAAGACTCTGGTGCCCTGAACTTTGAGGACAGCGCTGCCATAATCCTGGTGCTCCAGAGGATGATCGAGCACCACCAGGCCCTGTTCATGGTAGGTGAGGCTCCTCAGGGCAGCTCCTCCAGACCTCCCTTCCCTCTGAACTCTCCCAGTGGCAGCAGAGCAAGGGGGTGTTCACAGCCCTGCCCAGGAGCAGGTGACTCTAGTTGGCTTTGGGAACACGGCTCATTCCTCACGGCGTAAATATGGATTTAGGATGGCTTGTGGTGCCATTGTAAGGGCACAGCTGAGGGTTCTGCCATGGAGGTCCCCTCTTCTCTGTCACCTCCCGCCCTGGTGACGTCTGACCGAGCTCCTCTGGGACAGGGAACACCTGGTCAACAGCAGGGGTGGCATTTGAGGGCTGTTTCTCCCCCATACTCCCAGTGAGGGGGGAAAGAAGAGGAAAAATGGGAGAGCCTAGAACAGGGAAGGAGCTGGAAGAGGATGGCATGGGGTGGAGTGACAAAGCCTTGGGCAGGTGTGGGCAAGATGTAACAGCAGGGAGAGCTGGTGAGGGCAATGAGGGACCACTTCAGATCACTTCAGATCCACTCTTCAGCAGGATTCAGGCAGTGCTCATCTCATACTAGGGGATGCATCGCCCTGGGATTCCCAAAATCTTCTTTTAGAGTCATATAAAGGCTCATATGTGAAGAAGAGAACTCTGGGCCTCCAGACCAGCCAGATCAGGGCTCACTTCCGAGACAGTAAGGGCTGCATCCAGCTGGGCTTTACTTCTTTCCGGGGATGTGGAGCTGTGACCTCTCCAGGTCCTGTCCCAGGACTGCACCATCATCAGGGGAAGGTTTTTGTCCCTGTCAGAGGTGCCCCTGCTGCACCTTGGTCTGTGCCCATCCTCTGGGAAGGGTCTGGCTCCATCCTCTCTCCACCCTCCCACAGGATACTTTCAGGCAGCAAGAGCCCCCACAGGCCTATGGGAATGGGACATTTCAGTCAAAAAGCTTCACAGCAATTTTGGGGGTCTGCAGGGAGCCAAAAGACCAGGGTTACTGCAGGAAAAGCGGGGGCTGAGATCCTGTAGACCCCGGGGGGTGTGTGGGATGTGACACCAACATGGTGTGTCCTCGACCACGTATTGTCCTGGAGTCCTTCCACCGCCCTCGGCTGCCCCTGCTCATCCTCCTGCCGAGGGGGACCCCACGAGCGAGTGTGTCCCTGTGTGCCCCCAGGTGTCTCCAGAGATGCAGTGTGACATCCTGAGGAGGCTGTTCCAGACTGATCCAGATGTCATTGACTACCTGCTGCGCAGGAAGTTCCCTGCTGTGCCGTAAGTCCCCACGAGGCTCCTCCCTGCACGGGGCCAACCCTGCTGATCTTCCTCCAGCCTTCCTCTTCCCTCCACTGCTTCTGCTCATGAGCTCCCCAGCTAAAGCCCTTCACATCCCAGCTTTCCTGTCCCTCAGAGCTCCCTGTTCTCCTTGTTTCCTCCTCCAGGTCCCCTCCAGAGCATCAGAATCCCTTCTTGTCCAGCCCCCTCCCCTGCTCCTGCCTTTAGGGGTTGCACGCTGATACCTGCTCCATGTTCAGGCTTCTCCAAATCTTCTTTGCCCTTGGTGTCCACATTTCTATGCATTTTTTTGCCTTGTCCTGTGTGGCTGTGCATCCATTTTTAGGCTCTAAGATGGGACAGTCCCACTGAGGCTCAGAATTGGAGCTCATGCCCTCCCCTGTGATTAAATACAGTAGGATTAAATAAAGATTAAATACCCTGTGTCCCATAAGCTGGTGCCACCATCACAGTACCTAATGCAGGAGGGGGTTTGCTCCCTGGGGTTGGAAGCAGGGGACACTCAGGAGCCTTTGGTCTCCTGGTAGAGCTGGTGACTCTTGAGCAAACAGGGACTGTCCTGTGTGAGGGGTTTTCCTGGACCACAGGCCACATGCAGGCCAGGTTGGACAGGGCTTGGAGCAACCTGGTCTAGTGGAAGGTGATCCTGCCCATGGCAGGGAGTTGGACTAGATGGTCTTCAAAGTCCGTTCCAACCCAAACGTTGGATTCTATAATCCATGGTACAGTTCCTTGCCTGTCTTCACATTCCCTTTGGGGCTGTCCAGAGATGGCAGCCTTTGGGATCTTTGGGATCACTGCTAGAGGACATTTGGGAGTGGAGCTGGCAATAGAAGCATTTGCAATTAGCATCTCTCTCTTTTTTTCACTTCCTTAGGCCCCTGGAGCGTGAGGGTTCCGCAGAGGGCCGCTCTCCCTCCGCACTGCCCGGCTGGACACGCAGCCTGGAGAGCAGCTCGGTCTCCTCGGAGCTCTACAGCAATGTCTCGTTCCTAAACCTGCACGTTGGCATCTAGTGAGCCCTGGCCAGGCCCTCTGGACAAACTGGGCAGCCTTTCCCAGCAAAAACCAGTCCTCTGCCCCACTTTGGGGGAAAGCCCTGTGCCTGTGCCATGGGGGTGCGTGTGTGGGGCAGAGCCGTGCTCCAGAGCCACCAGCACAGGCTGTCACCTCCTTGCAGGTCCAAAGCACTGCTGTGCCCCTGGCACGGCCCTGCCTCTGCCATCTGCTTCATCAGAGTTTGGGGAATGAGATTCCCGTCCCCAGAGCTGAGGGGACTGGAGCGTCCGTCTTTCGAGGGAAGGCTGAGGGAGCTGGGACTGTTCAGTCTGGAGAAGAGACAACTCGTCCCCCAAAGGGACCTTATGGATGTATCTAAGTGCTTTTGTAAGGGCCTGGAGTGACAGGACAAGGGGGAGTGGCTTCCCACTGCCAGAGGGCAGGGTTAGATGGGATATTGGGAAGAAATTCTTCCTTGTGAGGATGGTAAGGCCCTGGCACAGGTTGCTCAGAGAAGTTGCCATGGGCAAGGACACCTTCCACTGGACCAGGTTGCTTCCAAGCCCCATCCAGCCTGGTCCTGAACACTTCCAGGGATGGGGCAGCCACAGCAGAGGGATGAAAGAGTACTTTTGCAAACAAAACCAGGCTGGAGTGTCTGGTGGAACAGCAGCACAGGGAGGGATGGGGATGTTTAAAGGACCAAAGCTCCACCAGTGCTTCACTCCATGAGGGTTTTCCTACATTCACATCCAGAGTTGGTCCATGGATGATGGTCCATGATTCTAGATCATCTTTAAGGTCCCTTCCAACCCAAAACATTCTGTGAGAGGTGGAATGGGGAATCGTAGCCAGGGCCAACTCTCCAGGAAGCTTTGGGCTGGTGGGATGCTCACACGTGTCATAGCTCTGGGCACAACCAAGAGGATGATGAAGGGCTGGATGACCCTTTCCCTGCTGCTGGCCTGAGAGGGAGGATGGATTCATGCTCCATATTCCGCCACAACCTGTGCCCAGTACTGGTCTAAAGGCACCAGAGCCTCGGGGCTGGGCTCTTATTTTGCAAAGGTCCCTTCCCTGAGGATGGGTACAGTTGGGATGGGTGGGGAGGTATTTCCTGGAGGAGTGTGTGCTGTGAGATAGCTGGTGAGACCTCCCGGGTCTCTGGTCTCTGATAAGCTCCAGAGACCAGCAGTGCTGGTGAGTCTGTGGGAGTGGATAAGCTTAGGACACCATGGGGCTGCTGAAGGTTCCTGAGGTCACCAGCACACCCGAGTGTCCACTGTGAAACCAACACCATGTCCAGCAGCTGGGCTGGGCAGGATTGTACCTGCTGCAAGACCAGCCCCTCTGGGGACCTTCCAAATTCCTTCTTAGGGTGGTAAAACAATGGCACAGGTTGCCCAGAGAAGCTGTGGCTGCCCCATCCCTGGAAGTGTTCAGGCCAAGTTGGACAGGGCTTGGAGCAACCTGGTCTAGTGGAAGGTGTCCCTGCCTATGGCAGGGGGGTGTAACTGGATGGGTTTTAAGGTCCTTTCCAACCCATATCATTCTGTGACTCCGTGATTCTGTGGATGAGACAGGGATGCTGACACATGAGGCAGCTCTTTGCAGGAAAAGTCCTGTTGAAGTTCACTTTCCCAGCGCCACAAAGGGGGCAGGGAGGGCATGTGGGGCTCGCTGGGAAGGGCCATCTTTCTCCTTTTACTACCAAAACTATAAAAATCACTGTAGGGTGTTTCTCCCACCACATCAGAAGCCTAAAACTGCTCAGTGCCCGCGGGATATTGCTGGAAACTCCACTTGAGGGCAGCCCAGCACCGGCCTGCCCACGGCCTCCCTGAGCTGCACGGACACTCTTCCGCCTGAAGGAGCAGCCGGCTGGCGCTGCTGGAACACACCAGTGCTTGCTTAGAGCCGCTCTCTTTCAGCCTCACAAAATAAACCCCGTCCCCAATCAGTTGAAAAGCTCATTCGGGGAGCCTTGGCATCGCTCCGAAGAGCCCAGTGGCTTTTGCCATGCTCCGGGTTCTGTTCTCGTGGGCTCTTCGCCCTGGTTGTTGTCGGGTTGTTAATGTTTGGGGGTGTCTGTTGTTGTTGAGGGGGTGGTGGCTGTTGGAAGGGGGTGGTGGCTGTTTTGGGGGGTGGTGGCCGTTGTGGGTGGTTGGTGTTTCGGGGGCAGTTGCTGCTGTTGGGGTGTTTCTGGCTGGTTCTCGGCACCAACCCCACCAAAACCATCTTGAAGCACTCAGCACTGGTGGGGTTTCACATCTGAAGTCAAGCTTAGGGCTTGTGTGAAGGGCACAACAGGGAGTATCTGCAGGAGTGGGATCAACTGCTCGGATTCATGAGTGATTTTAGGGTCAATGGCACAGAAAGCAGAGCCCATTCCCTTCTGTTTTTTTAATGCCTGTGTCTACCCTCATGCTGCTGAGCAGGATCCAGGGTGCTGCCCAGACACAGAGCTCTGGGCTTGACAGCTCACTGGGAAAACTGGAGGAGAAAATCATGGAATTGTTGAGGTCGGAGAAGCCCTCCAAGACCATCCAAGTTCAACTGCTCCCCCAACGCTGCCAAGGCCACCACTAACCCATGGCCACAAGTGCCATGTACACATGGCTTTTAAATCCTTCTAGGAACGGGGACCCACCACTGCCCTGGGCAGCCTGTGCCAGGGCTGGACAACCCCTTTCCGTGAAGGAATTTTTCCCAATATCCAACCTAAACCTTCCCTGGCACAACTTGAGGCCGTTTTTCCCTTGTTCCCTGGGTGCAGAGCCCGACTCTCCCCTGCTCCACCCTCCTCTCCGGGGTGTGTGGAGAGCTCAGGTCACCCCCGAGCTCGGGCACGGACGGGGGGGCGATCCCGGGACCCCCCCCGGGATCTCCTGGGAGCGCCCAGTTGGGGCGGAGCCTCTTGGAGGCCCCGCCCAGGCCCCGCCCACCCCATCACCGGTTTGGGGCCAAAACCGCCGGGACCGGGACCTGCCGCTGCCGCGGGACCGGAGCGCAGGGAGCGGAGCAGAGCCCGCCGAGCAGCCGGTGAGTGCCGAGCCGAGCCGAGCCGAGCCACCTCCTCGGAATTCCCTCTCCCCGCCCGCAGGGACTCTGTTCCTGCATTCCCCCCCACACCTCGCTGCGCATCCCATCGGGAATTCCCGGGAGCGGGATGGAGCCTTGAGCTCCTGGACTGTCCTGACCGGGGATTGTGGTCCCTTCCACCTCCCATCCAGGCTGCCCAGAGAAGCTGTGGCTGCCCCATCCCTGGAAGTGTCCAAGGCCAGGTTGGACGGGGCTTGGAGCAACCTGGGCTAGTGGAAGGTGTCCCTGCCCATGGCAGGGGGTGGGACTGGATGGGCTTTAAGGTTCCTTCCCACCCAAACCATTCCGGGATTCTATCAAGCCCCTTAGCTGGATAGGACCATCTCGTACTGGGTTGGACACCAGCTCAGCTGTGGGATGAGCTGGAGGGATGTCTGAGGTGTCCAAGGAGCTGGATAAGCTCAGAGTAAGGCTGGGAACTGCCTGCAGGGAGGGGACCTGGATCCTGGCTCTGTCCCGTGCCCAACCTGGGGCTGCTCCCAAGAGGGTCTTGCTGGGGCTGCCTGCAGGGTGAGTGCTCCGACACCCCCTTCTTGCCCCCCAGCGATGGCCGAGGAGCTCAGTGACCTGCTCAGGGAGTTTGATGAGGTGATGGAGGACTTTGACCGGGGCCCTGCATGTCAGTACCAGCAGCACCTGGAAGAGCTGAAGAGGAAGGCGGGACACAGCGTGTACGACAGCGGCATCGATGAGCTGGAGAGTGAGTCTGGGACTGGGGGAAGAAAATGGATGAGCTGGAGAGTGAGTGTGGGGCTGAGGAAGAAAATGGATGAGCTGGAGAGTGAATCTGGGGCTGGGGAATGAAATGGATGAGCTGGAGAGTGAATCTGGGGCTGGGGAATGAAATGGATGAGCTGGAGAGTGAATCTGGGGCTGGGGAATGAAATGGATGAGCTGGAGAGTGAGTGTGGGGCTGGGGAATGATGAGCTGTGGGGGTGGATGATGTCTATTGGTGTGGGAGCTCTGGGGTTCCTCCATGGAAAACCACTGAGCTTCCTGCTGATGCTGCCTGACTCATCCCTGGTGGGCTGGATGAGCAACACTGCGGGGATGACCACTGGATCCTGGCCCAGGACCTGCCAACATCTGCCAGGGCTCCTGCTGCCGGGCTGGCTGCTGCACGACTGTGGGAGGCTTGGGATAAGCGGGAGCTCAGAGGGACCCAGTTCCGTATAATAACCCTGAGAGTCCTCGTGACTGTGCCCAGACAGCCTCTTGTGATCTTTGGCCCAAGAAAGAAGCTCAGTTGCCTTTTTCCAAGCATTCCTGGTACCAGGGGAAGAGCAGATGGGCTGTCCAAGCAGGAGGGAGGACCCGGCACCCCGTGCCACGTGCGCGGTCGGTCCCTGCTCCTGCAATGTGCCCGTCGGGTGCCTCTGGCCGGGGCCAGGGACTGATGCTTTGTGTGTGCAGGTGCCAGCACGTCCCCGGGAAGCAGCCTCAACTCCAGCGAGGAGCACCTCAACACCCCAGCCGACACTTACCCCACCAAAGGTGAGCCTGGCTCTGTCCCAGGGGGTCTGCCAGTGCTTCCTTCCATTTGCTCAGCCTGGCTTGGTGACAACAGGCTGCCCTGTATGGGGGGTGGGACCGAGCCCTGGCGTTCTGGCAGGATCCTGGAACAGCCATCAAGCTGGATTAGTGTGTTCCCGGTCAGGAATGGATTGGCTGGGATAGAAACAGCTGCAGCTGGAGCAGCTGTGATTAGGAAAAAGGGGTAGGGGGTCTTTCCTCTCCCAAGTAAGAGGAGGAATGGGAAGACCTGACCATGTTTCCATGTTCTCCCCACTAGCTAAGCTTGGTGACACGCAGGAGCTGGAGGAGTTCATCGCGGACCTGGATAAAGCCTTGGAGGGTACGTGCCCAGCTCTGATCCCTGCACTTCCCACGTGCTGGGGCTCCTCCACTGCCCTCTGACCCTGGGGGTCCTGCTGCAGGGCACTCGGAGCCTGGGTTTGGTCTTTTCTTTTGGCGAGGGGCTCATGGATGTCACCTCCCTCTTGAGGCTCTTTCAGCTGGGGCAGAAATACAAAGGCTTAAGTGCGTTCCCTCTCTGCTGCCTCAGCTTCCCTCAGCTGATGAGCTGGAGGTGCTGGTACCTGGGGAGGGGACTGAGGATATGAAGGCCATGTTGGTCCTGGCAATGATGCCCAACAGGACAACCTGCAGAGCTGTTGATGTTTTTGGGAAGATGCAGAGGTGCCTGTGGCTCTCTGCCTGCAGCCTCCCTCCAGCTCCTGCTTGGAGGCTGCTCTTTGCTTGAGGGAGAAAGGTGAGCAGGAGGAAAAGAGGATTTTTGCTTGTGGTGTATCCTAGCCCTGTGGAAATATCCCATCTGGAGGGAGGAGAGTGGGTAGCAGTGTGGTGGCAGAAAGGGGAATCCCAGCCTGTGGGTTGTGTTCTCCTTCTCCACGTGTTTCTGTCCTGGTAAAGGCCAGGGAGTGTCACTGGGGAAGGGGTGATGCTGTGCTGGGCATCTCTGGCAGCTGTACCACAGCAGCTCTGTAATCTGGTGAGGTTGGCTGCTCCCCAATAACTTCCTTGCTGGGGAAACTGAGGCAGGGGCCACACTTCCTCTCACAGAGGAACAGCGTGACAGGCTGGAGGCAGAGAGAACTTGATTTAAAAAAATAATGAGATATTTCCCCCTACATGGACCGTGTAAGGCACAGTTCTGGTATCTGTTCCCTTCCCCGAGTATCCAAAATGAGGTGGCTGGTGGGAAGTGTTGCTCTGCAGGCCCCAGCCATGCTTGGAGGGAGTGAGACAGGAAGGGGACCAGACCTGTCTCCCATCCCTCAGATTTCTGCTCTAACCCTGCTGCTGGTGGTGCCAGGGGGTCCAGTGCAGCCCCCCCAGCCATCCTCTCACCGTCTTCTTTCCCCTCTGTGTCATCCTGCAGAGATGTGAGATGTGGTTCGGGGTTTGGAGAGGAGGATCCCCAGCAGCTGAGCCCCCCTGATGCCTGCCTGATGCACCCTCTGCTTCTGCACCCACTGCTGGCCTGGGGATGGCTCCTGGGGCCGTGCTGGGGACGGGGACAGGCGCAGGGACAGGCGGTGGGGACGGATCCGGCCATGGGACAGTGGTGGCAGGACCCTGCCAGCGCCGAGAGAGGAGAACCCGGGGTGGGCACTGGGCTCTGCCCTGCACGGGGGCTGGTGGCTCCTGGGACTGAGTGGGTTGAGGAGGCCTGTGCCACTGATGAAGCCCTTGGAGACCCCCTGGGTGATTTTGGGGAAGGACATCAGTGTGACCTTGGTGTCCCCTCCAGACTGGGAAAGCCTGTTCCCCCGGTGGCATCTGTCACAGGCGGTGGCAGCCACTGCTGGCCCTTTGCTTTGCATGGGGACCCCCAAATCTGGCCCATCCCTGCCCCCCAAGTGCCTCTGCCCCAGCTGCTGCTGCTGTAAATACTGTAAAAAGGATGTTTTGGGCTGTACAGAGAGAATGTGTTTCTATAAACAGGATTTTAAGCCTCTGTTTGTCTTTGTCCATCCTTTTTCCGTTTGGGGGGGGGGGGGAGCAGGGATGCCTGGGCCATGCCCCGGCCCTGGGGCTGCCAGCTGGTGGGACTGGCATTGGAAAAATGGAGGGAGAGACCTCAGGGAAGCAAATTCAGCAGCGTGTGCCTGCCTGAAGGAGGGTATTGGATTGGGAATCCCTGGTCCTCCTTTCCACTTGGCTCTTGGACAGTGTGGGGTGGGCGAGGGGGCAGAGTCCATCCCTTTCCCACTCCGTCTGCTCAGGGAGATGGGCCACTGCCTGCTCCTCTGTCTGGGGTGGGTGATGCTGCTCTGAGGGTCCTGCTTCCAAATGGACACGCCCTGGTACCACTTTGTCTTGATACTGCCACTGGAACAGCCCCAGGAACAAGCCTCCCGGGATGTGGGTTTGCAGCCCTCTGCCAAGCTGAGCTTGGACAGAGGTTTGGCTGGTGAGGGGGATGATGGGTCTCCCCGGGTTTCCCCTCCTTCGTTTCCCTCCTAGAGTTTCCCCTCCCCAGGAGCTGCCCCGTGTGCATTGGAATGACCGAGAAGGAACGTGGGCGTCTGCTCGTCCCAGGGCTGGCAGCGCTGCCCTCCCTCCCTCCCTCCCTGTGATCTGCGTGAGGAGCAGGGTCACATGTGGCTCTGCTGCAACTGTCTGAGCAGGAAACGGGCAGTTTCGCTTTCTTCCCTCATCCCTGTCCGCGGGTGCCGAGCAGGAGGATGTTGGTCGTCTCCTCTGCCAGCCCCTGGACTTAGAGCTGCCGCAGGAGTCTGCTGAGCCCGCACTGATCCGAGCCCTGGGAGGGAGGGCAGGACAGGAGCCGGGACTTCTGGGCAGCCCCGGAGCCCCGGGCAGGGCAGAGCAGGCATGAGGACACTTTCTGCTGTCGCTGTCCCCGTGTTATGTGATGTTTGTGTGATGTTACCGCTGACCTCCCTCCCAAAGGGACCCCGAGGAGCAGCCAGAAGAGGGGGGTGAGAGTGTGTGGCAAGGTGGTGATGTTTGGAGTGTCTGTGACACTCAGGGATCTGCCTGTGATGCTCTGTGGGGACACTCAGCTCACATCACCGGGGCCAAGGAAGGGGACAGGAGCCACGGGGACTGTCCCCACCGTGCCGATGGCAGCAACCCCCGTGTCACTGGGGACGTTTTTCCCCTCTGAGTCACTGCTCGCAGCGTTTCACCCTCGCTGTCTCGCTCTGACTCCGGGGTTCATTATTCCACCCACGGTCCCGTCCTGCCTCTGGGCAACACCAGCTCCTCCCCAGCCTGTGTGGGAAGGCGTTTTTAACCCACCACCCCCAGTGCGGTCCCCGATGGGTGACGGTGGTGCTCGGGCTGTCGCTGTCCCCAAGTGCCACTCACCCCCTCGCCCCCCGCGGCAGCGGCAAACGTTGCCAAGCAGCTACAGAAATAAATATTTTCCAGCCCCAAATCTGCTGAGGCTGATACGCCCCCGCAGCCACAGCACAGCCCCGGGGAAGCTCTGGAGGTTGTTTGTTGCGGGCGTTGCCAGGAGCGGGTTGGGGTGTCAGCCCGGGCTCCTGCAGCCCCTCAGGGTTGGGATGGGTGTGGGGGTGCTGCTGAGCCGTCCCATCCCGTCAGTGCAGGAGCCTCTCCGGGGCTCATGGGACCTCCTGCCTCCCCTGACTGTCAGCATCTGCTTGGGTTGGGGCTGGGGGGACAGTGGGATGGCATTGGACACCCCACAGCGCCAGTACTGTGTGTGGGGTGACAGAGGATCTAATGCCAGCCCCGTCCTGCCCAGCCTGTGCCGACAGCAGCTCAACCTAAACCTCCATGATGGGCTTCCCAGGGCAGTGGTGGAGCCACCATCCCTGGAAATGTTAAAAACCCCATGTAGATGTGGCACTTGGGGACATGGTTTAGTGGTGGCTTTGGCAGGGAATGGTTGGACTCTGATCTCGGAGGGCTTTTCCCACCTAAATGATCCCATGATTCTATGGCTTGTGCATGCTGGTGAAGCAGATCCCTTTGGGCACAGCAGCTCTTCTACTGGGACAGGGGCCGGATTTTTGTCCTGGGAATCTCAGGAAGGGCTTGGGGACACACCTGGATGGTGGGGTGGCACTGAGGTGGGGGGTGTGGCATCCCCTGCCCTGTGGAGGGACAGTTGCCCAAGGGCTGTTGTGTAGCCTGGGAGGACCCCTGACCCCCCCACGCTCGTGGGGGTGCTGAGGCTGAGCAGGGCGGTGGGTTGGAGGGTCTGTGGGTCGGAGGTGGCCCCGCCGTGCACGTGCCGTGGAGGGGCTGCAAAAGCAATCAGCACGAACACGCACGTCCTGCGACACTGCCGCTCCTCCCCTGGGCCCCCTGCCCACCGCAGCACGGGCGGGGGGAGCTGGAGCAGGGCCAAGGAGCAGCTGGGATGGGCTGGATTGGATGTGGGGCTCTGCAAAGAGCCCGGAGAGGGACCTGATGGGAACCCGCTCTCTGAAGGTGCCGGGAGCTGAGGGTGCCGGAGCTGCCCGGGGGGTTCTGGAGGCCCTGCCATCAACTGGGAGCTGCTGGTCCGGGCTGTCGGGGTGCAGGGAGAAGAATGCCAGCCCTGGGCAGGCTGGAGCAGGGCTGTGGTGCTGCACAGGGCCCCCAGTGAGGCTGTCCCCGCTCCCTGAGCGCTCCGCACTCAGCCCAGCGGCTGAGTGTTTTCTTAGAAGCGAGAGCAGCGTGCGCGGGACGGGATGTGGGTAATACCCGGAGCCGAGGCGGCTGCACGGGCCCCCTGCCTGCAGCTGTTCCCGCAAAACCAGCTTTTCCGGAGCCCACCTGGGTGTTTGCCAGCGGAGCAGGCGCTGAGCCCCACACGCTCCCTCCCCCGGCCCTCAGTGAGCCCCCTTCCCCAGGCTGGGGGATGCAGCTCCAGCCTGGAGCAGATCTGGCATCCTGGAGACCCGGGTGGATGTGCTGGGACACGGAGGGGACGGCTTTAGCAGAAGTGGCCCTGGCTGGAGACAGTCACCTCCCTCACTGACCCCTGGGTGGGCAGCCAGAAACCTCCCTGGCGGCCACCACTGCAGGGACCACCTGTGGGCAGGTGTTGCCTGTGTCTCCCTGCTTTTCCCCTCTCTATATTCCCAGGAACAAGACATGTATGGAGGCATCCCTCAAGGCAGGGCCACCATGCAGGTACCAGGGCTTCTGTCTGTGCCTGGGAGCTGATAGTCCCTCACCCCCCACGCCAGGGCTTGATGTTCCTCGATGGAGTTGCTGGGAAAGATCCTGGAGGGATCTTTCCAGCCTCTAAGGGGGTAAAAAGAGTCACCAGAGCTCCCCTAAAAGAAGTTGTGGCCACTCTGTGCTTCAAAGAGGAACCTCAACCCTCTGGGGAAGGGAAGTCCCCAGCTGCCCAGACAGTCTGGCAGTAGTGATGTAAGAGGCTGTAACTATTTTGGGAGACAGCGTAACCCTGGGGGTGCCACCTGCTTTCTTTCCCGTAAAGCCCCCTCACGTGTTTTTCTGGAATCATAGAATGGTTTGGGTGGGAAGGGACCTTAAAGCCCATCCAGTCCCACCCCCTGCCATGGGCAGGGACACCTTCCACTAGCCCAGGTTGCTCCAAGCCCCGTCCAACCTGGCCTTGGACACTTCCAGGGATGGGGCAGCCACAGCTTCTCTGGGCAACCTGTGCCAGGGCCTCACCACCCTCACAGGGAAGAATTCCTTCCCAATATCCCATCTAACCCTGCCCTCTGGCAGTGGGAAGCCATTCCCCCTTGTCCTGTCACTCCAGGCCCTTGTCTCCACTCCCTCTCCAGCTCTCCTGGAGCCCCTTTAGCCACTGAAAGGGGTTCTAAGGTCTCCCTGGAGTCTTCTCTTCTCCAGGTGAACCCCCCCAGCTCTCCCAGCCTGGCTCCAGAGCAGAGGGGCTCCAGCCCTCGGAGTATGGTGGGATCTTCCCACATTTACAAGAAAGAGGGGAGAAGTTGGGCCCTATTGGGTTTTCCAGGAGGCTGGTGCCTGCAGACCAGGGTTAGGAAATTCCTCAGCTGTGCTGGGACTGCGCCAACTCCTGAAACAGTCCCTGGGGAGTCTCCATGTGACCCCAAATCACCCGGGGGACAGGAGAGCTCCACAGCAGGGTCAGTGGGGAGTGGGTGCTTCCCCCTCCCAGGGATGCCAGCATCCACAGATGGGAGTAGGCAACCTCCTCCTCTGGGTCCCCCCTGAGCTCCAGAGCAACCAGGGGGGTTTGGTGTTTCTTTCTCTGGCCACTGCTCAACCTCTGACTTCATCCCCCAGGTATCCAAAGAGACAATGCCGGCGGTGGTGGCCAGCAGGGCATCCTGTCCCCTCGCCCCCCCTCCCTGCCCCCAGTCACTTCCTGGGATTGTTCTGCTCCCTTGGCCAGGGGCTGGACGGGGAGTCCCCCGGGAGCGGGAAGGGACGAGCCTCACGTGCCTGGTGGCTGCTGGAGTTTCGTTCAGCGCCGGAGCACGGCCGGGGCACTGCATGAACCGGGGTAGGGTCATCCCGTCCCTGGGCTTTCTCCTGCCACCACTCCCTCCACTCCACTGGGAACTGCCCTCCTGGGCTGCAGGGCAGGGTTAGGGTTAGGGTTAGGGTTAGGGCAGGAGCCCCAATCCCATCCCAGCCAAAACCCTCTGTCTGATGGCACCGAGACCAACCCGGGTCGGGGTGAACTGGAGGAGAACAGCGGATCACGGCGGAACCAGGACGTGCTCTCTGCTGGCTTAGCTGGCATTAACCTTGTGATTAAACTAATTAATGCAACACCAGGAGAATCCAGCCCTGTGTCACCGTTCCCTGGCTGCAAGCCTCCATTCAGGCAGGGGCTAAGCCTGCAAATACCTGTCCCTGACATAATCCCCCCCATTTCTGCACCTGGGGGCCGGAGGCTGTTCCAGCAGCGATCTTTGGACCTGGAATATCTGCTTTTCCCCTTGTAATTCCTTGTGGTTTGGGAGCACAGTGCCCAGCCACATGCTCCTTCCTTGCGTGTCCCATGTC